TAATTAATTCATGATTTTTTGATAAATTGGTAAATAAATTACCACCAATAGTGATTTAATCCAAGAATCAAATTATTTGAATTAGTTTCGGTCCAAAATTCACAATATCGTAGCTGTTAAAGTTTTTCAGGATATTTCCTCACCGTTGGTGACTAAACTCCAAGAAAATTTAATGACCTTAAAAGCTAGAAAGTAAAAGTCAAACTTGCTTGAGAATCATGGCTATTTATTATATGATCATTAGTCTAGTCGTTGCCAAAGGAACGATCAGGAGACATTCATGAGTATTGATGAGTAGGTGCCAAAAAGATCAATGCATTGGAACGACAAAACTTTTGCCACTTGTGTATTAAATGGGGGTTAGTCCAAAATATAACAAATATCCAGATAGCCAAATTCGAATATAGACAAGGTATTTCAATTAAACAAAAACTCAGACAACCAAAAAGAAGACGAGATTCTTTTTGCAATATAAACAAAAATTCGAATATGTAGGAAGCAACCCATCTCAAACAAAAACTCAGACAGCCAAAAAGAAGACGAGATTCTTTTTGCAATATAGACAAGGTATTTCAATTAGAACTTTAAAAAGATTGAATTCTCTTACAAATTTGGTTCATCAAATTAGATAACACAAATAGAAGTCAGGTCTTTCATCATATTAAAACCTCAAGAAGTTTATAAAGATACCTCTGCCTTAAAATTGTCTAGAAAGCTTCCACATCATACAAAACCAACCATAACAGGTATTTGCCGGTAGTTTCACTCACTTTTCCAACATACATATTGGCTCAACTTGTTTATCGCTCTGCCAATACCAACATTGATATTGATTTCCAACTAATCTTTGTTAGTTGAAGGTATTGACGTGCAATTCCAGTCCAGCCTGACCTTAAAACATCATTTTGATTGTATTTTTAAGCAAAAGTCAATGTATAACAATTTGAGGCCTGTCTAGATTTAGCAATTCATTTTATGCTTTGTGCGTGAGGCAATCCTGCTTGGATTAGTTTGTTATATTCTCCATAAATTCGTGTATTTTGCTTTATTGACCGTTTTGTCTAGATAAATTGTGAACTCCTCACCAGTCTGAGGCATAGAAAAGAACTCTATTGGGAGGTTTCCCTACCCAAAATCACAATCGTTTGTTTAAAGTCTATTAGTTGGGGCTCAAGTATATAAATTCATTCAAATTTATTAGGGTATTATATGTAACAATGACACGCTCACATAAAAGAAAGTTAATCCAGAAATCATTAAATAGATAAATGATTAATGAGGCTTTTTACTCAACAGACTCAAATATAAAAAGGATAAACAAACATTTAATGTACAAAAATAGAAAAATAAAATATGACAGGTATACTATACATTTCAGAGTTTTTATTTTTTTATTTTTTTATGCAGATACATTTCAGAGTTATTTACACTAAAACTTGTGCTTTTACTAAACCCTTTGTAGGTCCAGAAATTACACAAATACTCCATAAAGTTTTAAACTGTTTTCTCGAAACCTTTTTCCATTGATTTTTCCTTCTATAATTGATGATTTTATATAAAAAAATGTCTTCAAATAATAACAAATTTAGTACTTAGATTTTTATAAGCGAAACTTGGGAAGAGGGAATTGAACTTAGGAGGAGTTATATCCTCTTAACCACTTAAGCTTCAAACCCCTTACAAGCTATTCTTTTAATCGAACTGAGATTAAATTTGTTATTTGCGTAAGCTTTTTTATATATGAAATCATTAACTTTTAGATGAAAATTTAACAAAATCGGATTTAATGAGAATAATTTGAAACTTCTGGAGATGTTGGTGTAATTTTCAAAACCTCTAGGATTTTGACAACACACAGTAAAATGTAAATAACTCATACATCCAAATTCCAATTGCAAGAAGAGGCTTTCAAATTGCTTCTGGGCCGCACCTGAGAGTAACCACGTCGAGCGTCTGTAAACCAAAGCATCATCGCCCAAATGTTCTTCGCCCTTTGTCCCAAAGAAACAAATGCCCTCGATTGTTTTTAAGTTTGAAATTCAACCCTTTTTTTTGGGTTTTCTTATTGCCTGGGATTGGAGTAATTGCTTTGCTTTGATTTGTACCTATGAAGACTGAAGAGGTTTTTCTGGCAGAATATTTCCTACCACCGTGGATAGCAGCAGTAAGCCAGTGACCGTCAGTTGTGAAAATGGTAAGAAAACTTACCCTAGCTGCAATGGTTTATCCTATACCAGACAATTTTATTTGGATGGTTCAGATCTTTTTAGAATGCCGAGGACTGCATATTTTCTGAAGGCAGAGAATCAGCTAGGGCTTTAAGTTTTCCTGTAGAAATTGTTCATCATCAACCTCTAACATGATTCAACTCTGCAATTTGAAGACATTCAGATTGGTTCACTCAATATTTTCTTGTACATTTGCTTCCAAAACAAACAGAGTGTTGGTTGGAGATTCAAAACCCTCACATTTTTCTCTTCAGAGTCAGTTGCTCTGCAGACACATCACCTCAGAAATCTCAGAAAACCAACACAATTTCACAGTCACTTACCTCATAAACTCTTGTGGGTTGTCCCCAGAAGGAGCAATTTTAGCTTCTAAGTGGGTCGAGTTGCAATCCCCAGAAAGAGCAGACTCCGTTTTAGAGCTTCTGAGAAACCATGGAGTATCTCAAACCCAGATATCAAAGCTTATTAGGTCTCATCCAAAACTTCTTTCAGCTGATCCTGAGAAAACCCTTTTGCCAAAGCTCGAGTTCTTCAGCTCTCTTGGAATTTCAAAAGTGGACCTAGCAAAAACTCTGGCTTTTAATCCAAAACTTTTGGTAGTCAGCTTGAGAAATCGGATTTTGCCCGCTTATAACTTCCTCAGGAGTATGCTCTCTGATAAAAATGTTGTTGCTGTTTTCAAACGCAATTCATGGATTTTCTTGGGACGTCACTGCAAGCATGTTGTGCCAAATATTGGGCTTTTGAGAGAATCGGGCATGCCTCAACCATGCATTTCTTTTTTGTTAACTGATTGTACTCCCGCTTTGATGGTAAATCCTGGAAAATTTGGTCAACTTGTGGGTGAGGTTAAGGAAATGGGATTTAATCTGGAAAAATCTACTTCAGTGAATGCCCTGCGTGCATTGTGTGGTAAGAATAAGTTGGTATGGAATAGAAGTTGCGAACTTCTTAAGACGTGGGGTTGGTCTGAGGATGACGTTCTCTCCGCTTTCAGGAAGAACCCACAGTGTATGATTGTCTCGGAGAAGAAACTAATGCAAGCAATGGATCTTTTAGTGAACAAGATGGGATGGTCATCAGGAATGATTGCCAAATACCCTGTGGTCCTCAGTCTCAGTTTGGAAAGGAGACTTATCCCAAGGTGCTCTGTTGTTAAAGTTCTGCTGTTGAAAGGTCTCATAAATGAGAACTTGAGTCTGGGTTCTCTGCTGAAACCTGCAGAGAAGCAGTTCTTGAAGATATTTGTGAACAGATATCTCGGCGAAGTACCTCAATTGTTAAGTGTGTATCGAGGGAAGGTAGATATCGAGGCTCTCTGATCTGGTATGTTGAAATGGGATGAGGATGTAATTATTTTTAGCCACCTGATGCTGCCTTACTCAGATGTATTAGCTTGCTTTTGGCAATCCTCTCCCCTAGAAATTTTGTCTTTAAAGTAAGGTTTAATTTGTATCCAACATCTTAATAAAATTTTGCAGGAATTAAATTCAATTTTTCGTTCTTCTACTCCGCAGCCTATTTGTTTTTAGTTAGATTGATATATGCTTTGTCATTAGAAGAACACATGCCTGAGCACTCTCCGTAGCGTGGCCAGTCTCTTTCTGTTTATGGTTCTTGACTTTTGGTTACCCTTGAAAGTTGATTTTGTTGAATGTGCACGTATATTGCTTCCATTGGGGTTCAATGTAATCTATTTTGGGTGAGAAGTGGAAGAAACTAGTTTTTGTCTATTTTCGAAATATAAGAATGACTCTCAATCCTTTATCCCCTGCTCTTTGATTAATTGTCCTCTGAGACGCAGCTAGCTAGCCTACTCAAGTGGCCACGGTTGATTTATAAGAACTACTTCAGTGCCAGTGATTGATTAGATTTACATTGATTAGATTTACATGAAATCATGTCAACATGGCATCAAAGGACTGAATTTTCTCATTGTTTTCTCTTGTGTCGACCTTTTTCTCCAAGACCTTAATTATTAGGAACGTGATGAATTGGGAACTCAGGGGACATAAAACCCAGCTCTGATGGATGTGCAAAGAAGGGTGGTTTGGCAATTGTTATCTTTAGGATGAATCTATTGAGAAAGCCTCTGGAGATTTGTGGATCAATTTTACTGTTTCTTGTTTCTCTTTTTTGGAATAAATTGCTGTTCAATGAACTTCTCTTCGTTCGCCAAAATAGAAAAAGAGGTATTGTTTATTCTTTACTTGGATAACAGTTTTCTAGTATTGATTCTTGGCATACATGCAATTCAGCAACGTTATTGCAGGCACTTATTTTCTCATGGCTTGGGGCACCCAAAAATGATCATTCCTGAGGCTATTGCAGACACTTATTGGTGATTTTTGATGAATCACACTGACGAAGTTATCGAAGAGATTAGACATTCAGTGCGCTGTTCGTCGGTGTGATTCAATCAAAAATCACCAAGAACCCAAATATTACCACAAACCATGCATTTTTATTAGCTAAAACACATATTTTTGGTCCTCAATGTTCAAACACACAATATTTGTTGGGGTGTAGGTTTAGTTTCCCCCTATTGAAATTGTTTAGGATCAATTCCCCCAGCATTCATGGAGGGCAAGAATACTATCAAACACTTTGCTGAAATTCAAATCCTCAGAATTTGGGTAGATTTTGAATTATCTTGGACTTTGAACTCAGCACTTGCTTCTTTCAAACACTGCCCAAGGTTCAACTTTTCATAATTTTCTTTCAGAAATTTTTTTGGTTAAGCTCATAAGATTGAGCTTCATAAAAGGAAAATCAAGGCAAGGTGTTTCCCAAATGCATCTCGTTGCAATTCTTGTGCATCTTCAAGAGGATTTGGCGGTCCTGGTCGGTAAAGTCGAGGGCTCCCAGTTTGGGTTTGTGAACCGCAGGGGCAGAAACAGCCTGCTTGCTGAGGGTGGCGAGGTCGTGGGGATGGATTTTTATCGTAATCACCCCACGGTGTTGTTCTTCAGAAACCACAACAGTCATTTTGAACTTACTTCTTAACAGATTACCCCAAATCACAGCTGCCTTACCCACTCTCATCGCTAAAAGATAGTGGAGGAGTGAGAGAGAGAGAGAGAGAGAGAGAGAGAGAGAGAAGGGGAGGTTAAAGCAAAGGAAAGAAAAGGAGGAGGAGGTGAGTGGAGAGAGCGGTTAGGGGTTTGCTTTTGGTATGTGGTGGTGGTACAGTGTAAATGCCCCTATTATATTTTGTTCTATGTTTATTTATTTTCTTTTAACTTTTTCACTTACAATGCCCAAACAGAAAAGAAAAGAAATTAAATATAAAAAAATTATTATATTTATAATATTATAAAAATAAAAATAAAATAAAATAAAAGGAACGCATCCTGTGCCGTTGGTGCCAATAGTGATATTCCCACTAGAAACTAGAATCCATTCATTCGTAAAGCAACCTTCCAATCAGATTTGACACATTTAAACCTCATTTTTGGTATAAAACCAACATTATTTAGGCAAAATGTGATTTTGGTCCACGTAGTTTACCAATTTTGTCCCTCCATATAGTCTGAATTCCACACAATTCAAGGAAGAATCTCCCCCCCTTTTTTTTGTGTCGTCAAATTACTCTAGTATGGAGGGGTGTTTCGGTCCAATCTTACAGCTCCTACTGTAGCTTTCCTTATTTATTTTTTCTTAGAACTTTAAACTTTCCTTATGTTTTCAAGTCTCAAAGTTCTTACGTCGGATTCATGAGGAGATGTTTTGGGCAATGAAGGAGGAGTAAAGGTGGATGTGGAGGGATGGCTATAAGGTGGGAAGCGAGTTGAGTTAGGAGGTTGGGCAGGGAGGGGGATGAGGGATTGGAGAAGGTGGTTGTCAAGTGGTTGGGGAGGGGCTGCTGGGTAGCTGTGGTGTGGTTGAGGACGGGCTGTATGATTGGACCAAAATGCCCTTCCATATTAGAGTAATTTGATATAAATGGATTGTTGTCCTTTAATTGCTTGAAATTGGAACTACAATGACAAAACTGATCAAATTAAAACTATAGAAACCTTAATGGTAAAAAAAATAAGCTACAGAGACCAAAAGTGACTTTTTGCCTAATTATGACTGCAAATTTTACAGGTGGAATGCTAGAGACGATAGTTGTTTAAGTATGATTTCTTTCAATAAGAAATGCTAATAGTTGTTGAAGTATGATTTCTTTCTATAAGAAATGCTTCATGCTTACTCTCCAAAAATGAATGATGAGGGGTGGAGTACTTGCAAAAGATTACCCATACATACCCACTATAATAAGCTAACAATGGGTATTCAATTAGGATTTTAATGGATTTCAACGACCTAAATAATAAAGAGAATGATAAAAGTGGGTTGGAGTGTTTCCATGTCATAATTAGAAAATTAACTTGTTCATTTAGCCACATGTTAAAACTTGATTAGTACATAACACCACGTGGGATTGTAAATCAACAAAACTTTGTTCCTCTTGTTTATTCTGTCACTAATTGTCGAGATTGTCACCAAAGCAGCTTCATAACTGTTGTCAAGATTGGACAAAACGATTCCATGATGGTGCATTCATACTTCTTGTCACTGAAACAGCTTACTATAAGTTTGAGCCTACTCGAATATTTATAAAATTTCTCGAAAAAACCCTATCAATTGTCATTTTCCAATGGTTAAATCCATAATTCTTATCCCTCATACTAGAAGTGAGCATTTACCTCCACACCCACAATTAGAGTTCGACTCTCACCTTCGCCTTCTCAAAATTTAGGCCCCCGTTGTAACTGTAACACACAAACAAGAATAGAACAAGTTCTAGATGTCACTAGCAGTTGCTTTCAAGTCCAACATATCTGTGTAAAACAGGGAATAACGTGATCTTTCTACATCCCACACTGGTGAATCTGATCCATCTTCTTTCTTCATGTCCATACGTCAACCAAAAGACAATATTTGCTAAAGAAAATAACATCACGTATAATAAGACCCATCTCAATGAGGGGACAGATGCAAGGTTTGATTTCTACTTACCATTAATTTACATGCCTACAAAAGGGGGCATATTGAAAGTGCCACAAAAAGATCCATATATTGATTGCTGCATAATGCAATATTCTAACATGATAACACCTATCCTGTTCCAACACTTACATTAGCAAGTTTGATAGCCAAATCAAAATGGTGGGCGATTTACATTAAAAACTACTTTCTTTTTAGGTAATTACATAAAAGCTATCAACACCATCAAAGTTCTAACAGCCGAAAAAAATGGACTGCCGGGTGTTTGAGCAAATCTGAACCATATGTGCCTTCTATATTTATACTAAATCGTAGCAGAACGAAGGATGTAGCTGGTGGTGCTTCAAGCATCAAAGAGTAGCACAAATGGTTTCTGCAATGTTTGTAAAACCAATTATCCAAACAAAATAGTATGCCAACAAATAAGCAAGAAAGGTGCACAAGTTTATCAGAAATTGTAGCAGAGGCAGTGCCATATATACGTTAACAAGAAACCACCCGCGTCATAATTTTACCTGAGTGATCATATTTAGAATATATTCACATGCTTAATTCATAGATGATATTTGTGTTCATTAGGAAAACCATTGTGGAGAATTATATGAAAATTGCACAAAAGGAAAAATTGTACATTTGATTTAACAATATTAAAGTTGAAAACAGAAAAACAAATTCCATGCCTTCTCTTTTCTCATTAATAAACAGTCTAACTCTTTGTTTGATTTCAGAGTAGTTCTAGAATATTATGAATTTTCTTCCCTGCTTCAATTTCTTGATCAGACACAACTGAAAACTTTTGTATTCACTTCGGCACTTGATGGACTAAAGAGTGAGTGATGATACTTTACTAACTAATGCAGTTGTAGACCTGCTAGACGTAGTCGACAAGTTTTGAGGAAGAAAGATAACACTTCCATTTTGCAACACGCAACAGGGTGTAAACCTGCTAATGGGCTGGGGTTGCACAACAATGTGGAATTTCATCATCAAAGAGAAGACTTTTCCAAATCTTTTTCTCTCAGTTCTAATTGGTTTGACATTGATGATATACGCAACAATCCGTTATATCGAGGGAATGTTAATCAGTGTGTCCACTCTACTACTCTTAAAGAAGTTGATAAATATATATAGAGTATCAGTTATCCACAAACTCAGAAAGAAAATTTAATCCTCTGGGAGACATTGGCCATACCTGTCAGCAATCCTCAGCTGGTGGAAGTCAGACAGGCAGTTGCTGGAGGAAGAGGTGGAGTAGAAGCAGAGTCTCCATTCCTTTGGTTTGTATCAGTTTCCAAGTGCGATGGTGAAATACATGGGAATGCATTGTTCTTATCAACCCCATGATCATAAAGCAACCCCTGGAATACATGCCCGCTAATTTTCACTGTCGCTTGATAGGCTAACTCAGCTGCACCATTACTGATGGCAGTGACTCTGTGGCACCTGAAAACTGCTGGTGCACGAACTTTATCTGGTAACGACTGTTTGATATTAGCATCTGTGAATTTAAAATAAACCAAGTTAACTAGGTCTGTCAATTACACATAGCAACCGTTTCCAAAAAAATTACTCAAGTAAGATTACCACTCAAGAAACCTAACTCATTCTCATCAAAGATTATAATTCTTACTAGTTTGAAACACAAAAATTTGAAGCTTTGACAACAATGAAAGATCAATCATTCTCTGGTTACATGATATAAAAGATCATTCTTGCATTAAACATGATTAAAACCTATATTACTTTGCCGAGTGACTCCAACTATACTGTAACAGCAAAACCAAAACCAAAACCAATTCTAACATAGAATTAAGAAAAATAAAAAAGAGGGCAGCTTGGTGACTAGAGGCTGTACTTGCATTCTGTGATGGCACCACAACTCTTGGTCTTTTGGCAACAGAAGAAGACCCAGAAGAACCTGCAGTCAAGGATATTGATGACTTTTGCATACGTTCTGAAATTGTCCCTCTAATCAAACTTTCCTTCCTAATATAAAAAAAATTTAAACTAATTTCATAAATTAAAAGAAGATTTATTGTAATATCTTCCTAAAACACTGCACAGGAAGTGTAGATATGAATCCATGAAGAAATTCATGATAAAAAAGTTATTTCAAAACCTTCACCACCACCACCACCACCACCACCAACACCAGGAACAGCAACCGTCACCCCCATCTGCCGCTCTCGCCGCCTCGCCGCGGGGACCCAGGTGCTCTTCACGTGAGTAGAGCAGTCATAGCCGCGTCCTCTGCAACAAGTCCTGCACCTCCCGTACTCACAACCCTTCTTTGCCTTGTTTCCACAGTCCTTGCAAGCCTTCATTTTAGAACTCTCACCACCACCACCACCTTCATTTTCATTATTATTATTATGACCTTCACATTCCACAACCTGTTCATTTTGAGCACCATGGTTGCCAAAATTCAGCATGTCTTGCTTAGAAGGGTTCAATTCTTGGCATCTCCGGAGGCCCCAAAAATGTGAACTGTCAGAATTAACCTCAGCTGTTGTAGGTGCATGTGGAGCACATGGGGTGGCAGTAAGAAGAGGGAAAATGCCAAGGCCAACACCAAGAGTGGTGGATGAAGGCAGGGGAAGGTCAGAGGAAATGGGTTGGTTCTGTTGGTGCATGGAAGGAGTTGGAGCAATGAGGAGGATGTCTCTGAGACCCAACATGGTTTCATAGGGTTTCATTGACTAGCTTGAAATATGTTGTTGTTTTGGGCCAATTATTGCTCTGCTTGTTCTTTGTGTATTCTGAGTTTTGTGGAAAGAGAGAGAGACAGAGAGACAGAGAGAGAGAGAGAAGGTGTCTTGTCATATGTACCGAGTGAATTTTGAAGATTTCTGCTTCTGCAAACAGGCTATGAACTCCCACTTAAAAAGTTCTTGAAAAAGAACAACAGAGGAAATTTTTGGTAAACAATACAAAGCCAGTTTTAACCCGGAATCAATTATATGCTATTTTCCTAGAACTAGGGGGAAATGAAAAAGGCACTACAACAGTAAGCTTTATTCTTACCTCCCTCACTTCTTTTTTGTTGTTGTTTTTAGTGATTTAGTGTTATGACATGTTTACTTGCTAAAATCGGGTATTTGAAGGATTATAATTCCTTATTTCCGTTTGTGCTTACTAATACATGGGTATTTTAGATTTTAGTTTCCGACCTTCTCTTATGATCCAAACTCATTTGTTTTCCTCAATTCCCAACTTGGTCAATTCATGATTTGCTCATTCTATCATAAGCATAAGTTATAACACATTGTATTGTTGATTGCCACAAAATATGACTTTCTCCAAATCTATATATATAAAGCAAAAGGTAAAAAATGGTAAAACATTCAAAATATCAAAAACTGCTCTTAATTAATGCAAACATTAAGAATAGAAATTATTAATTAAATGAGGATAATATAGTAAATTCATACTTTTTTATATTAAAAATTTTTTTTAAAAAAAATTCAGATAATAGATCTTATTTTTATGAAACACAACTACTCATTATCTTTTTTAATTCTAAAATAAATTTAAATTTTTTTTAAAAAAAAGCTTCTCAGAAGTATAGAAATGTGTGCAGAGAGAATAGTACTGAAATGATTTAGTATGGTTAGTTATCCCATTGTTCTTATCAGACCCCCTTAATAATACAGTGAACTTGAATCTTTTTTTTTAATTTTAAAAAAAAAAAAAAAAAAAAAAAAAAAAAAAAAAATTTCTCAGAAAAAGTAATAAATAAAAAGTAAACTCTTCTGGTGCTACGGTAGGAAGATACTAGAAGCCTAACTAATGACTTTCCAATCCATTTTTCTGCAAATGCACTGTTTTAGCTTTTAAGATGGCCACAGCGCATTTTGGTGGGGGCTGCCTGCCTCTGATATAGTGCGCATTATGCGCAGCCTCGCTATTTAATTATTATTTTTGATGGCAGAGAAGGCCTGAGTGTGTTAGGTAGAGTCTAGGCCTATAGGGGTGTGGACCAACCTAGTCTATTAATAGGTCAAGTGTAGAGCCTAAAGACTATAGGATGCTTTGCTTTGAGTAGGGCTATAGGGTTGTAGGTGCAGCCTAGAGCCTAGGGCCTATGCAGATATGTGATTGGCTAAAGTTTGGCCTTCCCCTGACCCTTGACTAGCTTGATAATGATGATTTTCTTTTTTTACCTTTTAAATTAATTCTTTTTTAGTGGCTTTTGGTGCATTATGAGAGTGATTGTTTGTTTTAATATTTAGAAAAATAGGGTAATTATTGCGCAATGAATTTGTTTCGTTGTGTGCTTCTTCTTATCCACCCAGTGACTGTCTTCAATTATGAAGTTTTATTTGTTTAGTGAAAAGAAAAGTAAAAGAGAAAAAAAATTTCAGATTTTGAATTTTGTTTTGTCCAAATTTAGATTTCGAAAAATCACTTGAATCGCATATCCAACATTTTCTTAGTGTATATGTTCAAAATTTGAGAAATATGTAGGTTGGGTTCTTACATTTTGGTTCCAACCAAATTAGAGTTCATGAATCCCAATTTCACCTAGAATTCTAAGGGTGGACATCTGAACGGTGAAACTATTAAACCAAAACAAAACAAGCTGAAAAATACTGTGTTGACCAAAAAAGTCAATCTGAATTCAAAAACCAAATTGGCCCGGTTTGGTCCGATTCTGGTTCCGTTTATGTCATGAAAAACCGATCGAAACCGAACCATATTAGACAAGTATATACATTTTTTCCAATTATCCAATCCTTTAGGCCCAACTCTCCTTCCAACTATTTGGGTAGCCCAACTCCAAACCCAAATAATTTTCCTAAACTCCCCACACAGAAGCTCAATTCCCCAAACTTCCTAACTTCCCAAACAGCAGGCCAGTCGAGGCAGTCATCTGTTAGAGATCAGGATGATGAACAAAGAAAGAGAGAGAGCTAAGTTATAGCTAATATGCCGCGTTCAAAGCAGAAAAATATCTGGCAGTGAAATCTTTAACGCAGCAACAAATCACCGATTCACTTTTCAACTGCTGTGATTGTAGAGAAACATATCTGCACCCACTTGAAGATGGCAATGGTATTGAAAGAAGATGAAAAACCAAGGCACCCATGTTCTAAGTTCTAACCACAGAAGTATGATAGAAAAAAAATACATCATCCAGGAGTTACAGCTTACATGAAAAGAGAATCATACTCGTGCCGAACAGGCAGAGCTCCCTCCAAGGACTTCTAAGCTAACATTGTTGCTCCATACATCAATGTAAGCAACGGCGGTCCTACGTTTTGGAGGCTCTAGATGAACATTTTAAATGGGGTCTTCTACTCTGTATATATATTTATGTGATTTTTTTTTCTTCAGTAAGTTAAAAAAATATATTATATGAACTAAAATTCACAGTTATAACATAAAAGAAACAATCAATATGTAATTTTGCACAACAACTTTAAAAACACATCAAATCATCACTTAAATATCACTCTTCTTGCATTTTCGAATCAAAAGTATCAATTAAATTTACATAATCAAATTTCCTAATTGATTTAAGCTATAAGTTTAAAAAATAATTGGGTATTTATTGAGTTTCCTCTTTCTAATTTTGAATTGAGTAATTGGACAAGTTTTTTGTTTCTACAATGAGTGAGCCTTTATTGAGTTTCCTCTTTTTAGTTTTGAATTGAATGATTAGGTAAGTTTTTTTTTTTATATTTATAATAATTGGTTTGGACCTAACATAATATTCATATATCATAGTTTAAAAATATATATATATATATATAGATATGTATATATAGGTTATTACATAAATTGAGGACCCTCCCAATTCAGGGACTTTAGGCAACCGCCTTGCCTGTTTGTGCTCAAGACCTCTCTTAAATGTAAACTAACAAATAAGTTATTATAGTTGAATTACATGGTCAAAAAATGACTAATTATGTAAATGCAATATAGAACCATGCAGGTACGTATGACAGATTTTACAAAAGCCTCGCTAATTAGAATCGAATTAAACTCCGAAACTTGGAGTAAAATTTAGCAAGCTTATCCACTTAGGTTATAGTTTAGGCAAGATTAAATCTTGGCTAGGGTATGAAACAGGGGATCTAGAAACCTTGGGCCAACCCTCTTCTTGTCATCTTGCTCCAATTTTGTTGCCGCAGGCAACAATTTAATTACATTTTCTGCTAATATTGGTTTACAGCCACCAGCCAAAATGCTAATGAACTAGGATCGTAATTCCAAGGTCTTTAGAAGTTAAGAGGGAAAACGAAGCTTACCCTTGACACGTAATCTTCCACTTCATTTCCGCATCAAACCATGAGAAGTCCATTTCTTCTCATAGCTATTTACTAGTGATGTCATCTCAAGTGCTTTCCCTTGTCATATCGCATCTCACAAAATACTCCCAAGTCCTAATTAAATGAGAAAGTGAAGATGAGATTAGAATTGATTGATGGATTGATCTTACCCAAAAAAAACAAGGAAAATGACCTTATTAAGTTCAATCAAACCTAAATGGTTGCAGCTTCGTAAAATTAATTTCAACTAACTACTCATAGATTGTAGAAAACAAGGAGAAGAACAATTGAAGAAGAAAAAGGGACCTAATTTATATGCAAAAAACATAAAAAAGGATGAAATGAAGGGAATGGAGAGAGAGCAGGCCCGGCCTGAGGCAAGGCGAGAAGGGCTACTGCCATGGGCCCCATATCAAGGGGGGCCACAAAATATTTATTTAGTTTTTATTTTTATTTTTTTATTTAAGCTGCTTTTAAAATAGTTTTTAAATATGAGATACAATAGTATATTAGGTTTAGAGTATATATAAGAAGCTAACATCAAGATTTCTGAAGTTCCATTGCATTAATGGTTTCTCTTTGATTTTATTCAAACCAAATATATGTTCAAATCCACTATCATTAAGAAATATGGCGTCATTTTTTTAAATATTAATGATGATTGATGAGTTGATGTTCTTATTATAAATGTATCAAATGGACTATTTTTTGGAAGAAAAAAAACCGACAGTGATTGACTTTGGAAGGAGTAATTTGTGGTTCAAATGGAATATCTTTCTTCATTTGGTGCATTCTACTACTTAAAATGTCATATTTTTCTTCCAATATCTTTCAAATTTTTTTCGTTGTGTTTAATCATTGCTTTATATATAATTTTTTTAAATTTTTCCACAAGTAAAATGAATTTTTTTAAGGCCTAATTGTTGTTACTAGTTGTAAAAGGTCTACACTCTATATACACAGGTATAAATCAAAACAAATATTTTATTTATAAGTAGTTTTGCATTTATAGGGCCTTCTTTTTCACTTTGCCCTGGGCCACCAAAATCTCAAGGCCAGCCCTGAGAGAGAGAGGCGGAGATGGTGGTGGCATTGCAAATCTGGAAATACCTTAGAGGCGGCGTCTGAGATTGCAAATCCAATGCTACATTTTTAATCTCATAACTAATATTTTCCCAAGCCTAATTTGAAAACATCTCTCTTTTCTAGGCCAAATATCTCTCTTTATATGAAATTGGATCATTTGTAAATTTTCAAGCCCATAATGTTAAATTTTAGTTGTAATTTGTATAAAATTAATAATAATTTGAAAAAATCCGGTCCAAAACCGGAAAAATTAGAAACCGAAATGAAATTGGTTCAAACCAAATCAACCAATTTCATAATTTTTTTTTGCTAAAACCAGACCGAACTAAACCGATTAAATAGTTCCAATTCCAATTTTGATTTGAGGTGGAAATCGAACCAAACTGGACCACACCCACCCCTAGTGTCATGCCCATGAAAATGATGTTCTTATCAGGTGCAATTGTTAGATTGAATCAGAAAAATTAGTTATGTGAACATAATCATGTCCAAATATATAGTCCTAAATTAAAATTAAAGGTGTCAAATTGGCCATGTCAGGTCAGTCCTCAATTAAAATTAAAGGTGTCAAACAGGCCATGTTGGATTTACCCGACCCGTTTAGATTCGGCCCAATTAATAAACAAGTCAGGTTGAACTTGTCTATATATGAAAATCATTAAGTCCGACGTGAGCACGAAAGTTTCTTTAAGGAAAAAATAGTAGGGGTCACCCTTTCATGCAAAACCTCACAACTGGAGTCTGAAAGTTTCTTCAAGGAACGAAGGTGATTAGGCAAGTTTCCTCTCAACTTTGAACACTTTCTTAAAATCAGCTTCTCAAGACGAGCAAAGTCTACACAGTAACCTCCACCTGGACTTGGTAGCCATTCCTCCCACTATGGCATCTCATCAAACTTAAGCTTCTTCAATGATTGAAATGGCCGACATACAGAAGATCCATTGCAACTATAGAACTCAACACCACAACAGTCGTGAGTCGTGACAGATTTCATACTTTTTATAGTTAGCTCTTGCAGAACGGGTAGTTGCCCAAGTGGTGGCAAGGACAAAGGATAACTACAACCACTGAGACATATAAATTGTATGTTAGAGGAGGCAGAGTCTCCAAACCATTTTGGGAAGGTGATTCCACCATAGAATTTCAAGGTCAGTTTCACCAAGTTTATGGGAGGTTGTAGCATGTCAAGTACATCTCTCTCTTTTGTGGAATCATGGGCATCCTTATCACCCCATTCCAACTCTAACTCCTTAAGATCTTTCTTTTCTTTCAAGTTGGCCGGAAAGGCAACCATAGCATCGAGTACATTTTGCAGATTCAAAATACAAAGTTTTCCTTGAAGATTTGTCAACTATGTCAATTCTCCGATGCTTGACCCAGTATATTTGCCCACAACAAAAGTAGTCAGTGTTCTCAACCTTTTTAGTCTACCAATTTTCACAGGCATGTCTTTTAAGTTAGTTCCACTAATATCAAGATGGCGCAAATTAATCAGTTTTCTTATTTGTAGATTGTAGAGAGTACACACGGAAGAATACTTTTATCATGCACTTAACTCCCGAAGATTGCTATTCAAGATGCCACTCCATTCCTTATAATCTAGGTTGCAACTCAAGAGAGACCCCCAAGTGGTTTTGCAGCTAAAGGCAAACCGTTGCACTTTTGTGAAATTTTCTTACCAATTTCTTCCAAGTCTACATGTGCCTGGGGTTTTCATTTCTAAATGCATGTCTTTCAAGTAATAACAAGCAATCTTCATCCGACAACTGTTCTAAGTAGTGAATAGGAACAGTGTGCGTGATAGATGCAACACTTGTGTTCCTTGTTGTTACAATTACCTTACTTCCCCTTTCTCCATAAGTGAAAGGAGCCCGTAGAAGATCCCAATCATTATAGTTGTCATTCCAGAGATCATCCAACACAAATAAAAATTTCTTTCCCCGCACTTGTTACCTGAGCTCAACTTGAAGCAAGTTCATATTTGAAATACCACAAGATTTTGAAGTGACCGACTCAAGAAGGGTTTTGATTACCCTAATAGCATCAAAATCTTCAGAAACACAAGCCCAAGCTTCAATATCAAAATACTCTCACTTCGTCATCATTGTAAAGGAGTTGAGCAAGCGTTGTCTTACCAACCCGCCCATCCCAACTATGGTGATTAGTTACAGATATATTGTTGCTCCTAACTAGATAATCAGATAACAAGAGTGTTTCTAACTTTTCTTTATCTCTAACCCTACCATAAGTACAACATTCGTGCTCAACGCAGGGTGTTGTGAGAGTTCTGTGTGAAACATTGCCCCCAACACCTTCTCTAAGGCCAAGGATATCCTTCTAGTCTTTTGAGTAACTCTTCTATCCTACCATTCATGTTCATGCCTTGATACAAAGGATTGACAGAAGTAGAAATGAATTTCCACACCTGGGTTTTCTTGGTTTGATGTTGCGGAGCTCTAGTATCGATCTTGTCCAGTAGGTCATCCGCATCGAAGATTGCATGTTTTAGCTCGTCAAGCCACATTCCAACAGCAGGGTTCACAATCTGCTTCTCCGCATCATTGAGCAGAGCACGAAGGGTCAGCAACGTCATCTTCAGCTTCTCCATGAGTGAATTATCAAGTTTTCTTCCTCGGAATAAGTCCATCAACTCACCGGAAGCAAGCTTGTGACACAGCCTGAATTGAAGCAGACAGGAAAGCCACTCCGATCAAAGCTCCTCCAGCCATTTTTCTGCTCTCTTTTTTTATTTTTCTGAGGGGGAAGTATTAATTTCGAAGAAGTTGGAAACTAAAACTGTTTTAGATTCAGATTAAGAATTCCCAAAGCCTGTGAAGGTTATATAAGCTCAATTTCATTCAGTGAGGGATAGGATTACATGTTGTTTTGGTCAATATGCAGTTGAGGAGAGGTCTGTTTTGCTTTGTTTGTTTGTGATTGGAAATTTCAAAAGTAATGAAGGTTTTTCTCCTTATTTCTCATTTCCAAACTCTTGACAGTTGTCCTGCAATTGTAATCACATAATATGCAGGACATTGTAGAACCTACGTTTTTTTTTCCAAAAGAACAGTCACTTGAAATCTCAAACCCCCGATTGAATGAATGTTCAAGCTCCATCGAGTGTCTAAAATTCTAAGAATAAAACAATTAATTTGTTTAATCTTACACATTCATTGTACTTCAATTTAACGGTTGAAAATTTGTGTCAAAAAATTTTGGTGCCAGGGATCCCCCATGGAAATCATGTTACTATCACTACTTTCGTTTCGTGCCAACCCGCAGTCATACATGCTCAAAGAAAAACTCAGCTATCACGGGTTCATGCACCCACGCTATCTCTATAGCTATGTTTTTCTCCTTGTTGAAAATATAACAGTAGGTGATATTGCTAGACTGAATCAGAACCATTAGTTATGTGAACAGAATTATGTCTAAATGGACAGTCCTCTGTAAATAATGATCTCACAAGTTCACAACATATTTGACAAGAGATCAGTCTTCTGTTTTTAAGATTCCACATAATCTATTATTACTCATCACAAATAAAGTAACATTTTGTTACTGAGAATAAAAATAACATGTTATATACATCAATCTACACAAGATTAGACATGTAACTGACAAAACTTTTCTGGGATGAAGTTCAATTAAGTGCCTCTTTTCCCACTTTACATGAACCTCCTCCTGATTGGGATTTGTGCTGCTATCGGCAATAATGTACATGAAGCACTACCATGGTTCAGAGTTATTACCAAGAAAATTTCTAACATATGACGGCCTGCTCCAACCATCCTCCATCAAAATTAGGTTAAGGCGTATCATCAATTTCTCCACAGCATCTTCCTCAAGAATGGCTAATGAATCAGATGGTTGCCTCTGTAGTGGGCGACTCTGCCATATCCAAATAAAGATATTTTATTAATTTGCTTATCGAAGTCGCATGTTATCACACATACATAGGAAACTTACCTTTGTGTCCTGATACAACTTTAAATATTCAAGTGATTGTTCATAAAATCCACAATGGTACAGAAGAATGCTGTAGTCTCTTAATTCCTTTGGATCAGCTTCCAGGAGAATAAGACGTTCACATGCTGTAACAATAGGAACAATGTTCAGTAATATGGGGGCATTCCAATGTAAATTTCAGTTTTGATGAAATGAAGGAGAAAGTAAAAGGATTTCCTTTCTGTTAGGGCTAGAGATCTTGAGGCACGAGGGCATATTTAGGCACAAAAAAAGAAGTGAGATAATTCTATTTTGGCCTCGTGTTTGCATGGGATAACATTTGCCAGAAAGTATCCCCATCAAGCGGGTACTCAACTTATGGAATCAAGGAGGGGTGAAGGGCCAGCACTTGGGAATACTTTTTTTGAACAAACAGATGAAATTTTATTTCATAAGAATAACCATACGGTAAAGTGGACAAGTAATCCCACCAGAAGACAAGAGAAAAAACATTAATTCAACAAACTATATCTAGCTTAAGAAACCAAAATTAATCATGACACTTGGGAATACTCAGGGTTTAGGGTTTAGTATTTGCCAAAATACTTACTAAATTTTTGCTTTTATCTCTGTTTTGAATAACTAAGCTTCATTTACACATACAATAAAATCTCAAAAGAAACTAGAGACCTCTTTCTTTTTACTATGTAAATTTATTCCAAACGATTTTCTCTCCATTCTGTAAATTTGGAATCAAGGTTCTCTCAAAATCCTAAATACAGTACTACCGGTGAAGCTCAAATTGCATATTGTCTCAGGGGCGTAGATGTGGACCGGGCGGACTGTTAGCTAGTGTCTATCATCTTATGAGAATATTGTTAGGGTTTCGTGAGCCATGTGTCACACCCAGACTATTGGAGCATGTATTTTCCTTTTGTATGTAAGGATGTGCAGCCTCCAAAAGAGGAAGGAATGAAAAAGCATAATCTTTCCCTTTATTTTCTTTACTTTTCCTGCAGCTCTCTTTATTTTATCTGCAATTCCCATTAATAATCCTAACATCTTGGTACCAGAGCCCTCTTTTTGTTTACACACAAAAAAAAATAAAAAAATAAAAAAATATGAGCACAAGCTTAAGATAGTGTGATAATTTCGAGTCAGTTTCTCTTCCTATCAAACGAACCAAAATTATTACAGCCCCATGACTCAGGAGGAAACTACTAAAAGCTCAATATAGACGATAAAATGGAATTTTCAAATTGAACCAATAAAATCACGGGCCTTCTGACAGAGTAGAAATGCCACAAGCCTTTATATAATAAGCAGCCTACAAACACCTTCCACAACGGTGCTTTCTCTTATAATAACCACACAAGCCTCGAAAACTACTTGTAAAATTTCTATTCAAAGATGACCAAGTATAAGACTTTTTTTTGGCCAGATACTAAGGATAATAGTTAAAATGCTAGATTGGAACGGACCCTGAACTTATTGAAGCACAGTTTAGATAGTGCAAACCCTAAGATATTCCTGTTGCAATCTCAACTTATGCTACCACCAGTTCAACAGCATCAAGAAAAGTAATCTATTCAATATGACATTGCCTTCTTGACACTGGGATTAAATGAGCTGCAATGAATACATACCAGATAAGGCACGCCTCATATCCCCAAAATGTACACTAGTCCAAACACCACGATCTAGTCTATGTTGAGCAGCCTTAGCAGATGCCAGCTGAAAACCACTAGAAAAGACAAAGTATCTCATGTATATGGACTTATATAATACGTACAAGGAAATGCTCTATGGAAGTCAACTATTTTAACATCTAATATTAGTTTAAGTGGATATTACATTCATTTCAGACTGAAATACCTGTCTTCATTAATGTTTGATCTATCAATGAAGTTAGCAGCACGTGCTGCCCTCAAGAATAAATTCCCTGGTTGATCATGCTGAAATGGCCAGAATGCATCCTTCAAATTTCTTAAAATCTGCACATACAGTAAACTATGAGACCACATTAAGCTAGGATTAAAGGCTCAGACATACACAGAAGCATATATATAAATAAATTTATCTCCTACTTTTTGTGAAAACAAAATCCATTCTTACAACTGTTCAGTTGAAATCTAACGGTTGATAATTAAATCCTAACAGAGACTTTTCAACAATTTTCAGCAGCTGGATCAAGGTTGGTGAGCACAATTTTTGTACTTGTTGAATTGTATATCATGATGAGAGAGATAGGGGTGCTTTTTTCATATGGCACCAACTTATTGGCAGGCTCATTACACTCTAAGTAAATATATGTGTTACAATCAAAGTAGCACGACCTGTAAATATTCTAAAGCACATGGAAACAATTTGATTTGAATGTACCATAGAATACATTTCCATGACCACAGATAAACTAGGAGGAAGCCTCAAGGGAAAAGTTGCTCACTCTAGAAATAAGAGGCAAATAAATACCTAAATTACAAGATTATTCAATTAACAACAGGCAATACCACATCCAATATGACACTCTTTAGAGAACTAGGAGTTTGAGCATGCCCAACACAGTGACATACAATAATACAAATTAAGAAAAAAAAAAAAAAAAAAAAGTTGGCATGATAAGATAAGTACCTCCACCAAAAGGGCTTGTGATGTCAATATGTGTGCATTATCAGATTCCTTGCTTTTCTGTTTATGATAACCTCTGGGAAGACTATGACGATCGTGAGGAAAGAATATCTCCACATCAAAATCCAAAAATCCCCATAGGCGAAGCATTTTCAAAATTTCTGAGTATATTAGTGAAAGCATCGCTGGTGATCCTGAACGATGTGTCAAAACCTGTTTGCAATTTCAACATCAAACTCCTAAAACAATGCTGATATTGTAATGTTTTCTCAGAAACAAGCTTGAAATAACAAAGATGTAAGGCAGACTTCCATACCGAGTGGAGATAAAGAGCTCGTGGTTCGGAGTGATGCCTTGCATTGGTTCTTCGGAAAGCCTGAAAGAACAGAAAAAAGGTCACCAAAACCAAAGAACTTTGCAAAAGCAAAGGGAAATGCCAATGAGGTACATAGGTTCTGATTTAAATTTTTTTTAAATGCCGCGTCAAACTTTTCTGTGACAAAACAATTGTTCCCGAAGTGAACTTTATCTTAGTTTCTCCATGCCAAATTACTTCAACACTAAAGTTTGGCAGTTTTGCAACACCAAGGCTCCCTAAAAGCTTAAATTTAGTTGAAAGTAAAATGACTTAGTAGCTTTTCGGTTCAGCTTTGAATCAACTCAAAAAGAACTCTAATCCAACTTTATACAAAACATACCTTGTTTACGTACAAATAATTTTCCAAACCCTCCAACAATCTCTCAGGAGAGGATCTGAATGAAGAATTGTAGTGAGAACAATAGTCCATGGAAAGATCACCAAATCTACTGATAAAAGCATCCACTGGAAGCGGAACTGACGAATGTGACACAAGGGAGTCATCCTCTGCTGCAATGAAAAGAGCTGTTTTCCCCAGATCAACACATCTATTGATGCTAATGCTGGTTTGCCTCTCTATACCAGATAGATGGCGAATTTGTGAGCAGAACCCCTCCCTAGCCTCCTGGTTGTTTATCAATTACATATTATTCAAAATCCAAAATAAGTCAACTCTATTGCATAATCAAGACATTGTATTGTAATAAAGTCCAAAATTTATCCCCCAAAAAAAAAAATCTGCATCATGTACTTGATAAGAGCTAATCCAGTAAATGAACAACATTATCAACTTGACAGTTGTCATTATAAAATGTTTAAATAAATGTAATTTATAAGGAAAAACTATAAAAGAAGTAGGCTTCTCACATCAGCAACAACATATTACTTTTTACATGGCTTCATTATTTTCCTTCATTTTCATCTACAGAAAAAACCTAAAGCAACTTTTGGAGTACGTGAAATTCCTCTCTTTAGGAATAAAGTAATAAAAGGGACTGCTTCAAGCTGATCCAAATTGCCAATGCATTCATTTCATACATAAAAATAAATAAATAAATAAATAAATACAGAAATACCCAATTTATATTTATAAGGAAAATTAAATGTATTCTATTTTCAATAAATAAAAAAAACAGAACAATTACCCTGGCGAGGGAGGTGGGGGTTCCAGAGGAATCGAGAGCATCGTGAAGAACGAATTTGAAGTCACTTCCTACGTTGGCTTGCGCGCAGCATAAAAGGCGAGGAGAAGGGCATGATTGGTATTTTGAGAATTTTGAAGAAGAAGATGAAGAAGAAGATGAAGAAGAAGAGGGTGTTGTGAGAGGAGAGGTCCTTAGAACCCATGGAGGAGAAGCAGCACCGAACAAACTCATGGTTTTACCGTCGTTTCAAAACGAACAGAGCGTAAGTTGGTTTCTTATCAGATTTATTTATCTTCTGGGAAATATCTGTCTAAGTTTGGACATTTGTGCTTGCTGGGTTATCTTTTTCCTTTAAAGATAAAAACAAATTAACAAATTTTTTTTGAAAAAAAATCATTTAAAAAAACATATGAAAACACACATGGCTTTATAAGTGAACTTGTTCATGCTCTTGCATAGACTCATCTCTCTCCCTCCAAAAATCCTACATATAACTTGCAATAATCTCACAGTTTTGGATTGGTGGTTAGCAGTGGAGGGTACTTGAATTTGGTGGACAAGGAAGTCTCAGTTCTGGTGGGGCTCAGTGTGGGCATGGTTGAGTTGGGTTCACTTACAAAATTTTGTAACTTAATTTGATTTATTTCTAGTAAGGATAGTTTTGAAATTTTGTTGGGTGCGCACTTACAATACATTTTAGAATGGGTTAACTTATAAAAAAAAGAAGAAGTAAAGTTTAGAGATTACCCAAAACAAAAACGTGTTTTAGGGGGGTGTATTCAATTAGGATTTTAAAAGACTATTTTGGGATAAATAAGTCTTGTGGTATTCAATTAAGACTTTTAAATAATCTAAACAAGTCTTGTGGTATTCAATAAGGACTATTAGGATTTTTTAAAGAGGGTGTCCAAATCTAGTGGTATTCAATCAAGACTTTAAACAAGTAACAAAAAGTCTTTTGGTATTCAAAAACTTGCTTATTTCGAAGGATTTTTTTTAAAGAAGGAATTTGTGTGACTTTTTAGTGGGAGGTATAAATACCAAACCCTAAAAAAAATCCCACCATAACCCGTCAGACTTTTCACGTGAGATTTTTTTCTCTCTGCGAGAGAAGATGAACAGTTCTTCGTGAAGATAAACAGCTCTTTGTGAATAAGGTATTGCTTCCTTCTCGTGCTATGTCTTCTTGCGTTTATTGTATGTATCAAATATATGCCATGCTATGTTTTCTTTGCTAGTAAAAAAATTTTGTATTCGTTTTCTATAACCATGTTGGCATCTATTGATATAGTAATTCTTTTTCAATTTCTATAACCATGCTGACATCGTTTTCTATAACCATGTGACCTTATTCTGTAATGGGTACTTTGCTTTTTACATGTTTTTGAAAGGCTCTGTTACTGTTGAGATATCTTCCATATTTTCGTATATGAATATATTCATGCTTCTTGTTGTTGCTTGGCTTTGGGTTTTCTTTCCTTTCTTCCCCCTGTTATTTTTCCAAGCTTTGCTTGTGACGTTTGTTTGGTTGGATTGAGGGTTGAGATGGGGTGTTGTTGATTTGGATGAATCTTTGTTGTAATAATAAAATAGCACTCAAGAATTAAATAAAATAAGCAATTAGTTGAAATCAATATGCTTATTATTGTTGTACCTGGAAGCAATTTGTTTTGGTTTTCTTGTTTGGTATGATATGTATTCTTGTGAAATAACTAATAAATTTCTTACATATATTGTAGTAGTAATTTAATGGGGGATTCACAACAAGGAAATAACAAAGGAAAGGGCAAAGAGAAAGAGAACTATGAATCTTGGACCATGGACGATACCAATGAGTTGTTGCATCTCTTGGTGGATGCTATCAATAGTGGATTGCGAGATGCTAATGGGTCACTTAGCAAGCAAAATGTAGAAAGAGTGATACTTCCTCGTCTTAATGCGAAAATTAGGTTCCCTAAAACTTATAATCATTATTTGAGTCGAATGAAGTGGTTTAAGAAGCAATATAACAAGATGTCGATGCTTATGCGTAACAACTCTGGCTTTGGGTGGGACCCAATTGCAAAGACGTTCACTGCTAGTGAGGAAGTATGGAAAGATTACTTGAAGGTGAGCTTAATTCATAATCTTTTAAATATATTAATAGCTTACTAGTTTAGTACATTATGTTATTTGCAATATATTAACAATGAATAATTTTTTCTTTGCTAGTCCCACCCAAGTCAAAGTAAACTTCGAGAAAAAAGTGTAGTTGATTATGAGGATTTGAAGATTGTCGTTGGGGGGTGGAACTGCTACTGGGAATGGTTCCATTGCATTAGGCGCTGATGATACCGATGCAACAACTTATGGGGAAGAAAATAGAGATTTTGGGATGGAAGACTTTTCATATGATCCTAACAATGATGCGTTCATAGCACCAAATCACTATGAACCATCCTACCAGCCTCCATCACCCCGCCAATGCAGTCCACCATCTCATTCCCTTTAGGTTCGGAGGTTCCCACTGAAAAACCAAGCCGCAATAAGCGAAATAGATCCGAGTATGAAGTGAGTTCTAGCTCAGTTGGGACCAATAATCAAGCCAAAGTTCTAGAAAATCTTTCTATTGGCATCGAGACTATTTCTGCCAATTTTGTTAAAATATCTAACCTAATGGAGAAAAGAGAAAGAGACAGAGACAGAGAGAGGGATATTTGGTTGAACAATTTGGATTATAATTTGGTTGAACTTTTTCATTCGGTTAAACTATTCTGACAATAAATTGCCAGCAGCTTCAAATACAATAAATTGTTATTGTTACATATTTTGACAGCAGCTTCAAATACAATAAATTGCCTCTATTTGGCTATGGTACAGAGTTTGAACTCTGCCCCACTTCCATTTGTCTTCTAGCTATACCATACTGTCTCTTTCTTTATTCTTCTAACCTATTACCTGATAGGATAGCCTTCCAATGAAACTTGAATACGATATTTTGTTATTCAAAACTAGCATTTGGACCATTAGATGGTTTGAATTAATTATTTGTCATGGCCTTATTGCCTTTGTTGATTTTCGGATCCTTCCTATTTTGATCCCACTTTATTGTGTCATGGTCCCATACATATTGTTTTATCCTTCCTATTTTTATTGTGCTCAGCAGAATTTCCTCCATATACATATTTTTTGTCCTTCCTAATTTTCAGATTCTTCCTTCTTTGCTTTCACTTTTTTATGCAATTATTATATTGTAATGTGTACTATTTTCTTCTTTTTATTGTTTTGCAGTCTAGTATATTTTTTATATACGCATAATGTCACAACCGAACATATATGAAGGTAATGACATAGAGGAAGAAGAAATTGATTACGAAGATATAGATGATGAAGAAATAGATGAAGAATTTTATGAAGCCATTTACAGTTCAGTGATGGCAATTTATGCAGTAATGCATGTGCTAAATCAATTTCTGAATATAATGCGTGGTGAATATATTGAACGTCCATTAACTCGACGGCGAATTACTAGCAGTGGATATGACTATATACATCAAGCATTGAACGATGATCCTGCAATCTTCCGACAAGTATATAGAATGTATCCAGATGTATTCCGGAAGTTATGCACAATTCTTAGAGAAAAAACACTTTTGGAGGATACAAGATTTATTTGCGTTGAAGAAATGCTTGCATCATTCCTACAAATCGTCGGCCAAAATACTCGATATTGTGTCATTCGTAATACATTTGGTCGATCACAATTCACTGCAAGTGAAAATTTTCACAAGATTTTGAAGGCCTTGAATTCAATAGCATCTGATTGGATGGCTAAACCAGGACCGGCTGTGCCATCTAAAATAAGGGAAAGCACAAGGTTTTACCCTTATTTCAAGGTATGTGATAATTATCTAATTATAATAATATTGTAATTATAATATATATTTGTCATAATATGGTTATTGTGATGTATGAATAATTTTAGGATTGCATTGGAGCTATTGATGGTACACATATTCCGGCAATGGTGAGGGGACGAGATGTAAGCAGTTATCGTAATCGTCATGGAAAGATATCACAAAATGTATTAGCTGCTTGTAACTTTGATTTGGAATTCATATACGTTCTTAGCGGGTGGGAGGGTTCAGCTCATGATTCAAAGCTACTAAATGATGCTTTATCAAGGAGGAATGGACTTAAAGTGCCCCAAGGTAAGTACTTATTTTAAATGATAAATATATATATTTTTTAACTTTGCATACTAATTTTATATGTATTGTATATATAATTAGGAAAATATTTCCTAGTGGATTGTGGATTTCCTAATCGGCGCCAATTTTTAGCTCCATTTCGAGGTGTGCGATATCATCTCCAAGATTTTGCAGGTCATGGTAATGACCCTCAAAATGAAAATGAATTGTTCAATCTTCGCCATGCGTCATTGAGGAATGTGATCGAGAGGATATTTGGCATTTTTAAATCACGGTTCACAATTTTTAAGTCAGCGCCTCCATTTCCATTTAAGACACAAGCAGAGCTTGTGTTAGCATGTGTAGCACTACACAACTTTCTTCGCAAAGAGTGTCGTTCTGATGAATTTCCAATTGAACCAGTGGACGAATCTTCTTCATCTTCAGTATTACCAGTTAATGAAGAAGAGAATTTGGAACCTATTGTTCAAACCCAAGAGCAGCAACGAGAAAATGCTAATGCATGGAGAGCTACCATAGCTTTAGATATGTGGAGAAATGCTACTTAGGTGGACATGAAGCTACATCAAATTGGCTACTAAAAGATTGGGAAAACTTTATTGAATTTTACTTTTCTTTGTTAAAATTGTGTTTCTTTGTTATCTTTTTCATTGACTCTTGTAACTTTGAATGTTTGCTTTTATTTATTGTTCCATTCCATTTGATCCCGTTTATGTTATTACTGATGCAAGTGCCCACAACTAAGTTGGTTGGTTATCGTACAAATAAAAAATCCATGTGGTCCTTTCAAATCTTATAAATTCTTATGATATAAATCTTTAAAATCCAAACATAAAAAATCCTGCGTATAAAAAATCTTTCAAAAAAATCTTATAAGTCATTACATTCTTAAATAGTCTTTTAAAATCCACTGGACTTATTTATCCATAAATAGTCTTTTAAAATCTCAATTGAATACACCCCCCTTAGTATTTGTTGATGTGTGATCCCTTGAGAGCATTTTTGTGCTTACTTGGGTGTTTGAAAGTGTGTGTTTGATCTTACTTGGAGTGGCCAAGTAAGGGTAGGATTCCAGCCACCAATTCCTGCAAGAAAAGAAGGAATGGTCACTCAAAAGTGGTAGTGGGAGGGCCATCAACAACTTATGATGCCTAAGTCCGCGTTTCCCTCAAAGGAGGTAAGAAAAGTATTGTTGACAAAAAAAAACAGAGGTAAGAAAAGTATTGTACTTTTTTTTTTAATCAAAACGAAAAGTATTGTACTTAGAATGGAGAAAATTCAGATTACCTTTTTGGGTGGAAAAATATGTCTCTTTTATATTTGAGAAGAGGGCTTCTCTTCTTGTGTTATTTCAATGTTGGATGGAAGGTTCGCTAGTGACGTGGCACCTTTTGGGTGGTTGTTCACTTGCGAATTGACATGTGTCTCTCCTTTTGTGGGAATAAATCGACAGTGGAGTATTCATAGACTGATTGGTCCTTAAGTGACCAGCGCTTGGGCTTCTAGGCGAAGCACGCAAGTGCACTAGGCGTTGAAGGCGGTGTGATCCACGCTTTGTCCCTTCAAGTAGGGGGGCAATTTCGGACATGACCTGATACACAACTCGAAACCCGCACGATAAAAAAACAGGTCAATTTCGGGTCAACCCGTTCTGACCCGTTTAATAAATGACCTGCTATAATACATGTCTAACCCGTTTATTAAACGGGTCGTGACAACCTGTGTACAACCCTCTAACCCACTAAAAAATGAAGAGAAATGGAGACTTCAACACATACACACAAGGGGTTTTGAACCCCTACCACCCTCATTTCTCTCAAGCGTCTTATCCACCATGCTACAAACAACTTTGTGATTTTATGGTATGTCTTTTGATATTTATAATGTTTCTTTTTCTTTTGTGTTTTCCTTTCTTTTCCATCTCTCTTCTCCTCTCTTTTTTTTCTTTCCTTTCCTTCTTTCTTCTTTCTCCTCTCTCCTTTTCTCTCTCTCTCTCTCTCTCTCTCTCTCCTCTCTCTCTCTCTCTCTCTCTCTCTCTATTTTTTTCCTTTCTTTTCCTTCTCTCTTCTCTCCATCTTTTTTTTCTTTCTTTTCCTTATATTTTCTCTACTCTCTCTGTTTTTTTTAATTTAAATTTTTTCAGTTGTAAGTTTCGTAACATGCATGTTATTATTTATGAACCCGTTACACGACTCGAAACCCACAAGATAAAAGACGACCTGAACCCGACACGACAAATTTATTAAATGGGTTGGGTTCGGGTTGAGCATTCTTGACACGTTTATTATCCCGACACGACACAAACCCGACACGACACGACCCATTGCTAGCCCTACCTTCAAGTATGACCGCATAAGTGAAATGGGCATAGTCGACCTTTTCATCCCGAGAGTCTCTTTAGGCGCGAACAAGAGGCTTTTTTTGGCCTTGTTCTGGACTTTTGGACCTAGTCACTTCCTTCATTGGGGTCAATTTTCAGACACGTACAAAAAAATTGAAGTATTGAAGTTCGAAGAGTATCCCCATTTAAAAATTTAGTTATAGGAAGAGGGTTAGTTATAGGAAGTAGTAAGATCATTTTCAAAGTAAAACAAATAAAAATAAATATAAGGTTTTGGTATTGATACTTGGCAAGAAATGCCCTTCTGGTTACCTTCAAAAGCCGCACATAAGGAAAAATACAAAAGACTTGTCCGGGCCCATTTATACGTTCTACATATGTCAAAAGACTTGTTTGAACCCATTTATACGTTCTTAAATATATGTCAAAAGACTTGTCTACTCTTAGACGCATTTATCCATTTAAACACATGTCAAAAGACTCGTCCATTCTTAGATCCACTTATCCACTCCTAAATTTCATGCTCAAACAAATAATCTAATATGTGAGCATTGTTGATACAGATTTTTACTTCATGTTGATGCTAAAAAATGGTTCGACATTTTTGGGCCCAACTTAGTGATGTCTAGGCATTCAGTGTGTTTTGGGCCTCGGTACAGCGATCGATCTGCAAGATGAAAACGCTCGATAAGACTCAAGGCATCGGTGTGATACCAGTCGAAGGCTCTCCAATGCGTAAGTAAGTACAGAGTGAATAATAATCTGGACAGAGTAATGGCTAAGTTTGCTGAAAGATCTAGTTACCTCCATTTTGGGACTTGTGCCCCTTTTATAAATCTTGGGAGGTGTGCATGTTGTGTGGAATTTCGATGTGGGACTGTAGACATTTACTATGGACTCCACTTGTCCAATAGATGCTGGGGGTCTGATCTCACACTAGGCAATCAGGGGGTGCCGAATGTTGTCTTATCGATTCCCTCTTTTGTCCATGTGTCGTTCCTTTATTGGTCTGTTAGTTGTGGTATAAACACTTCCTAAAAATTAGATAGTTCAATTCAAGAAATAAACTTGTAAGCACACAAGGTTAATGTATATATAGCTAAGGTAAGAATAAGGTCGACACCAGAGAAATTGAATTAATTCTCAAGTTTTTGTTAATTATAAACTAACTTAAGCCTTTATTTATAGTTAAATAACTAAAACGTTGAGTGAATGTAACAATAATAAAAGGAAAACACGAGGAAAACAAGAACAAACAAATTAAATCCTAAGTTACTCCAAACACCCTAACCAATAAACTTTAAACAAATATACTCCTATCCTATGCTCCCTAAAGCTATGACTCAACTTAAACTTAACAAAAAAGTTTTGAAATTGGTTTCTTAGAGGTTTTCTTTAAAAGAATGTTGAAAAAAAGAAAATATAAAGACAAGATAACGGAAAAAATAAAGTGAATTGAATAAGGTTGTGAACGATTTTAATGGGGCTTTTTCAAGACAACAATTTCACCACAATTCCTCTTATCCAAACTGTAGCATGCATACTATCAAAATTTCTAAGTTTATGTTGATGATTAGTTCTCCAAAATTATGATTAATTATTTTCACAGCAACTAACCAATTCTTACTACATGCAATTTATCCTTGGCGTGAGGCATAAATGTAAACAGATAACAGAGCTTAAGCTTAATGGCAACTTCACAAACTCACATAAACCTCTAAGAATATGGCATTTTACGTTATGCAAATTTATGAATTTAATCACAAGAAGCAAATCTCATATTAGGCATGGCGTATACCCTAACATGCATCAAATTACTTAACTAAAAACCTAGATGGTAGCTAAGCTTCAAGATCAATAGTTAAGAAAATAATAAGCACAATGACTAAATTTCAAGAAAAGGAAACTTTAATAGCATAATATAACTAAGCTTTGAATAATTAGAAAGGGCTACGTTGTGTCCTAGTAAAAGAAAATTAGTTACCCATACTCATGGTAACAAAGTAAAAATAAAGCACAGAGAAAGAGATAGAAAAACCCTTACAATAGACGGCCACTCTTTCCTTGCTCAAAGAGTATATGTGAAAATTTACGGCATACCCTGAGTAAAGCCGACCTCTCTTAGTTTAAAGCAACTTAAAACCTTGTTAAACTGGGTCTAAACAAGTGGCTTTACATGAAAACTTAATTTCCAAGTTGATTCCTAACTGGAAATGGCGATTACAACTAAGTTTCCTAAAACTTCCAAGAAACAATACACTCCCTTGTGAATGGCATTTGGACACGTTCCTGATCTCAGAAAATTGCGAACGACCCCTCTTTGGAAAGCTCTGGATGTCCTCTTTTCAGCCATATGTTGTTTGCCTCAATCCTATTAGCTAGTGTCTTAACCACATCAACATTAATAGTTGCTGATTTGGAACATATAGCTGTTAAGATTAGTTAATTAGTAAGGACTATAACTATACAACCATAAGCTAGTTCTCTGTAATGAAATGTAACAAATTGTTGAGCCTTTTTGATAATCGAAGAAGATTGAAAATGAACTTTATGATATTTGAAGAGCTTAACAATTTGATCATGGTATCAGAGCTGTGAACACCTCATTGTCTCTTCGATCCTACTTGCTTTTCGTTTTCAAATATGAATGTTTTCTTCGATCTTTTTTGTTCCTCTCTCGATTCTTCGTTTCGTTACTGCAAGATCTGCTTTCGTGTTTGTTCCTCGATGTTGTGCTTATGGATTAGTGATTTGCTTTGTTGTTTGTTGACACACTTGTACGACTTCTTCTTTGGCTCTACAATATACTTTCTCTACGTTTATGAATTTCTATCTCCTTCTTTGGTGATTGTTGATGAGGTCATATTAGAATTAGCATCTTTAGTCCACATTAATTCACAAAGCTAAGTAAAAATGATATAAAATCATGTAGAATTATGAACATATCAGTTGTGTACAACGAAATTTTTGAGAGGATTACATTTTGCACTTTGTGCTAGGGCCGTCCTTGAGATTTTGAGGGCCCTGTGCAAAACTTAAATTGGGGCCTCATATAATCTAATACGAAAATACTATAATAAAAATTTGTCATAACTTAATGTCATAAACAATTTTTTTATAACCAAAAGTCACCATGAATAAATATGTAATGAAAATCAGAAATTAAATTCAAAAAAATTTAAATGTTTGGTACAAAAATAAGCTATTTGTGCCCCTACAAGGCCCCTTGTTGCCTCCAATAAGCAATGTGTTTAATAGGGGAAAAAAAATTGGCAATCACAAATTAAAGAGCACACAAATTCCTGAAATTTGAATTTGAATATTTGATTTTGGGTGGTCTTTATGAATTTAGGAAGTAGGATTTTTCTTTTTGGTGTTGAAATTCCTGAAATTGAAAGAATAACAAAAATTGTCAAATGATTGAAAAAAAAACCAAAGAGAGATGAAAGATGAAGTTTCTTTTGTTTTGTTTTGAATGAAGAAAGTACTTTTCTTAGAGGATAAAACTTTTTATTTTTGTTTTTTATTTAAGAAAAGAAATATCGATACTTAAGGAGTAGCAAATAAATCAACTTCAGCAAGAATCGAACTCTGGCGCTTCGTTAAATGGACAAGCACTGGAGACAACTCCACCAGACACGCCTTTGTGCAAATGTCTGGCACGCTGTGCTATATATATTCCTATAATATATATAATATGAATAAATATTTTTTCGGGGGCCCTTAAGAATCGGGGACTCTGTGCGATGGCGCCACTTGCACCACCCCAAGGCTGCCCCTTTGCGCCCTTTGGTTTTCTCCAGCATCTTATATGGTTGCCCCAATTATATTTTAAATTATATATATATCTACAATGCTAAGAAATTGGATAAACCAGAGAAAGTTTCCGGAACAAATCCGAAAGCACTTCAATGCCATCCTTTACTGATACGGAAGAAGTATGGGCTTAACCTACAAATATAAAGAGCACAATAAGTTTAGAGGAAGAATTAAAATGTAGCTTTTCACACATATAACATTTCTAAAGTCAAAATTTGAATTACTGTCATGCAAAACATATCTCGCCTTGCTCATACATTGTTTTCCGTTTTGGGGTCATGCTCCCATTTACCATCATGCTAATTTGCATGTTTGTGGCATCAGTTTGTCTTTGATTTAGAGTTATGTGTCTCATATTTGCGTTAATAATTTCTCATTCGTCATACCATAAAGTGAGTTTGCTTAGATTGGTGCTATAGTTAGACTTTTACCAGTTTCCTGTTTTATAAAGTACTAGCAAAGGTGCCCGTGCGATGCTGCAGGTTTTAAAACCTTCCAAAATGTGCATAAAGTTATGAAAATATGTAACAAGTTTAAGTTACAAAATAAAGACTAATAACATGTTTTATATGTAGAAGGATTTTGACTTTGAGGACCATTTATGAAACCTAAACCCTTTGTTTTTTTTCATTTTTAAGTTTTATGAATTTTAAATAATTTTTTAAAAACTCAATTAGTTGGTTGATGCGGCATTGTCACGTATATTTAAAATACCATATATATTTTTAAATAATTTTAAAAAGAAAACCAAAATTTTGTGAATTTTAAATTAAAAAATTTCCCAAGGACCATTTGTGATTGGCGCGTGAACCTCAAAAATGTTTTGTGATACATTTAATTACATGTGACATAAACTCTCTCTCTATATATTAATTAAAACATACATAAGTAATAAATAATTTATAGGAAGTTATAAAAAAAAATAATTAAAAAATAAATAAAAAACTTTGCCTTTTGTTGGGCCCACCTGTCTCTCTATTTTTCTTTTTCATTCTTCTTCCTCTTTCCGTCTGTCTCCAACCCTTTCTCCCTCTTTTTAATTTTTACATTTATGTATTTTAGTTATAAAAAAAAGGGCAAAAGGGGAAGATCAGAAAAGATTAAGTGGAGAGCATTTTAAGCAATTCACTGTGCTAAAGAGAAAACAAAACTAAAAACAACATTTAAAAGAGGGGCATTTCCATCATTACACTGCGCTTAAGAACAGTGTTTTGTGGATTGCCGTTTAGTATATATAAAATTTCCTTGACCCTTGTTCATGGCTTGTTCTAAAACTTAAGGCCTCGTTTGGTTCATGGGAAAAGAGACTTGGGAATGGGAAATCAATTGTTTTCCCATATTTGGTAAGTCTAGGTAAGGGAAATCGTTGTCTGGCTCATGGGAAAGTATGAGGGAAAGTAAAGCTATCCTCCCAACTTGGGTTTTGTTTTCCCTCCTTTTGGGAAAATGAGCTAACATTAAATACATATTTTTTATGACCATTTTATCCCCATTAACAATTTAGAATTACAATATATAATTAAGGGTTTTTCGCAACAATGGTCCCTCAACTATACCCCGTTTTGCATTTGGGTCACTGAACTCAATTATTAGTTGCAGAGGTCACTCAACTCTGCGTGTCGTTGCACTAGTAGTCCTTCTGTCAAGTCTGTTAGTTTTTCTGTTTAAAATAATGACGTGGCAAGCATATGTGAGAATCTCTTAGATTCGTTAAGGGCAAATCTGACTTTTCAGTTAATGAAAACGAATATTTGGTTTTGAAGTGAACGACAGTTGCACAGAAATGGCAGTCTGTGCAAAAGGGGAAAATCGCGTCTAGGGTTTTCAAATCGAGAGGCATTGGACTTCGATTTTTGGAGGATTTTGGAACATTATCTCAGCATTATGTGTTAATGCACTAAGTATCGAAGTATTTTGAGTTAAAAAAGCGATAAAGTACAGATATAGGGTTTCAATTTCGGGGAAAGCATAGAGAAAAGTGTCGGGTCTACAGTGTGTGGAGGCTTCTTCAAATGGAGACAATTTTTCGGTGGTCTGGAGAACCCCCCAAGTATGGTAAGTTACTATAACCTAAGTATTCCTTCTGCATTTTATATTGCAATATATTATGTCTGCAAATGTGTGGTCCTGTTGTTGACAATGAAGTTTTGGGTTTAAGGTGGGAAAAAATGTAGTTAGAGTCTTTATTATTGTCTGTGGTCCCATTTCTGTCGGTTTGTCATGGAAGTGATTTCACACTTGCACATGCCTGCACTTACTTTGTCTTCCTTGTTTACTTTGTCCTCATTGTCATTGAAATTGTTTGTAAGCATACCTTTGTGTAATGTGGTAGATAAAGAAGAGCTGTGTACTCTTGAACTCCACCACCACTTTGGTATGTTGGAGAATGACGTGTATAAGGGAGGCAAAGTATGCTATGTTGACAACTGTATTCATGACTATTTGTCATTATTTAAAGAAAATTGGGATAGATCTTGGATACAAAGTTGATATAACACAAAGGGTTACAAGCTTAAAAGTTTACTATAAGGGGCTTGCAAAAAGTAGTCAGCATGTTGTGAATGAGGTTGTAAATGATAGTTGTATTCCAGGGTTGTTTGGGAGCATTTCATCAGATCAGGTATTGGTGTTGTATTACTATGATCCTACTCATAACAACAAGCTAGAGAGTGAAGATAAAGGGCAACAACAACACAGTGAAGATGTTGGCAATGCAGATGAATATGAGTGGGAAGAAAATTAGGATGAGGAGGAAGAGGAGGAAGAGAAGGAAAAGGAGGAAAAGGAGGAAAAAGAGTATGTTATTGTTGACAGTGATTATGAAATAAGTGAAGAAGAAGAAAATGGTAATAAAGAGGCTGCATCAAGTGGTCAGCATAGAAAGGATGCACCAAATGATGAATATGCACAATGTTTTGAAGAGATGAATGAAATGCCTCTTAATGAAGCTACAGGGGAGATATCAGATGATGATGAAGATAGTGATCAACTTCCTTCTGATGTTGATAACTCTGGTGATGAGGAAGAAGGTCAAAAAAAGACAAGCAAGAGGAAATGGAAGAGGACAAATTTTAAACAGTTTAGGAAAGAAACTGATTTGAGAAATCCAGAGTTTAGAATTGGAATGCAATTTGCCAATAAGGATGAACTCAAGGAAGCTATTAAGGAGTATGCAATTATGCAAGGGAGGAATATTAAATTGGTGAAGAATGATAATAGAAGGATTCAAGCAAAGTGTGTAGGTCACACGAAATGCCTTTTATTCTCTGGGCTTCCAAGATAGACAGAGATGAGCAGACATTTTCCATAAAGACTCTGTCCTTAGAGCATGAGTGTACTAGAGTGGACAAACTGAAATATACTAATTCAAGGTGGCTGTCCAAAAGGTTTGCTGACAAGATTAGGAAAAATCCTGAGTGGGATGTAGAGGCATTCAAGGCTGAGGTTTTAGAACAGTACCATATGAATGTTTCAAAGCATCAGATTTATAGAGCAAAGAACTTGTCCAAGGTGATCATTGAAGGCAGCTATGCGGAGCAATATGCGAGGCTATGAGACTATGCAGAAGAATTGAAGAAGGCTAACAAGGGCAGCACTGTGATTATAAAGAATAAGATGAAGGGTAATAAACCTGTGTTTGAAAGAATCAGTTGCCTCTTCTACAGTCCAAGGGGCAGCTCAAGTATTTGGGTTAAAATCTCTTTAGTTTAATTCTTTTTTGGTCTTTAGGCCCAACCAGTTCATATGTCTTTTTTTTTTTTTTTTTTTTTAGTTTATATTATGTTAGATAATTGTTTTTTAGGCCCACCCTAATCAACCCAACCCAACTAGAGGCAGAGGGAGAGGTAGAGGAACTACTACAGGAAGAGGGAGAGGAGAAATGCCAACTGGAAGAGGAAATGTAAGTGACAACTCTGTCATGCTACTTTGGTTGGTTAATTTACTTTAGTTAGTTAATATGGTTCCATTTTATTTTAGGTTGGAAACGGGACAACAGAAATGCCAAACAATTTCTCATCATCACAACCACTCCCATCATCATCACAGCCACTGGTTATATCATCACAGCCACTCTCTTACACTAGAGCTACATCATCATCATCACGACCACCCAAGTCTCCTGCCAAGAGATTCAAGTCTCCTGCCAAGAGAGTGAAGGGTCCTGCCAGGAGATTCAAGTGTCCTGCCATGAAGCTTAAACCATGGATGTTTTGAAGGCTAACTAGGAGGATGTCTGTTGGATGTGTTTTTTGAAGTAGTTAGATGTGTTTTATGAATGGTTTGTTAGATGTGTCTCTGGGCTGGATGTCATTGTTTTGTATTTGGTACATTTTGGAACTTGAACTGGTACAATTTGGTACATTTGGTACATTTTGGAAGCTGTAACTTGGAACCTGATTTGGTACATTTGGTACATTATGCTTCAGTTCACTTGGAACCTGATTTGTTACATTTTGGAAGCTGTAATTGGATGTTATATATGCTGATTTGATACATTTTGGAACTGGGTGTTGTAACTGTTCATTTGGTACATTTTGGAACTGGGTGTTATAACTGTTGATTTGGTACAGAGCATCATCACATTTCATTGCAAAATGAACTCAAATTTCATTGCAAAATTTCAATACACTAACACCAATATGTCCACCAAACTCGAACTCAAATTTCATTGCAAAATGACCTACATATCGGTTACATTTCCACCTAATTGATCATAAGCTATTCATAGTTTCCCCCGGAAATGTTGTAGGGGGTTTTTTGTTCCAGCAGCCTGACGAATGGGTCTGGGCTGCTGTGAGAAGACAACGAGCAAAATCCCCCAAATGCCTGAGATCGAAAAACAAGCTCCCAAGAGAGTTTTTAGAAAATCTAATGAGATTTTAAAAGAACACTCTCAGGATCACTTCACTAACACCCAAATAAGCATGAGGATTTCATTAATGGCTTAGCTTGAGGAGCATGTGGCATGGGAGCTAAGCTTTCACAAGTTTAGCAATTTGAGAGAGAGAAAACAGCGTGGGTTTCTTACGGAAGAAATATCAGTGCGAGCCCTATCCTAAGAAGAAGAAAGATGAACAAAAGAGAGGTTTGGGTGGTTTGAGAAAATTCCAGATTTGCTTGACAAAGCTTGGTCAAGGTCTGGATCGTTGAGTTGTGGATGTCTTTTCTGGGTAGCAAAAGTCTCCTTTTATAGGCGTTAGGAGCTCCAATTTCATCTGGTTTTCTTCTTCCTTTTCCTTGGCAGCTCCTACCTAGCCCTATTTTGATGAATTTCTCCATCCAAGGAGCATGGGTAAGGAACCCTTTATGGTTCCAACGGTTTGACGCAGCTGGGCTTTCCCATAGAGGGGAAGGCGCCGCCTGCTTTCCTTATGTTTTCTCCAAGGCAGAGCTTACAGAGGAAAAGGGGAGAGATGGAGCCTTTTGTCTGATGGACACTTCCCTCACCCCCATGGATTTCCTCTGGTCTTGCCATGGCTCCCTTGTGACCATTGTTTGGAATTTAAACGGGCATAGGACTTGACGCCAGATTTTTGTAAGTTGCTGGGCTTGGGCTTGTACATATGGTATTGGGTCCTCTGGCTTTGTTGCTTCTATCGTTTGGCAGGCTTTCGTCAAGCTGCTGGAAAGGCTTTCCCTTTAATTCTATTGATGTGGGCTGGGCTAAATATCTTGGTGGGTTCTTTGGTGTCTTCCTAGAGCATGGGTCAATTTTTCTCCTCTCTCTCATGCTAACCCATATGCTTGGGTTCTAGGAACGGGCTTGAGTTCCAAAGGCCCCAAGTGGCTTTGAAACCTACGTTCCTTGAACCCTCAATGGGCCCCGTGATTGCTTGTCACCTTCCATACCACAACCTTCTCAGTAAGCCCCGGTTAATTTTGTGGCTTGGGCCTACTTAAGCTCGTGACGTAGCTTGGTATTAGAATGTGCATGATTTCTATGCTCGTGCTTGGGGTTTTATTATGCCATGATAGGCTAGAGTCGGGCCAAGTAGCACCGAATGAGCATGTAAGCGTGATTTAGTAATATCGGTATGTCCTTGGCTCCTTCTGCACGTGCTTGTTTAGCATGATTCGTGGCTTGTAGCTTGTGTTGGCGGCTCTTATAAATTTTCCTTTATCCCGATTGAGCTTATTTTGCATCCAATTACCCATATTGGGCTAAGGATTGATTTGGGCTTAGCCCCTTGGATTTTTGGGCCTCAACAAATGTCAACCAATTGCTCAAGACACAGAGCATCATCATAATCACCAAAAACCTAAGAACCAATGACAGAAATGAAACCCCCCAAATCTAATTATCTCTTGGTCGTTAGCCTATTCTTTTCTCTTCCAACAGTCTTTTCTGCTTGCATAGTTCTCCAACTTCGTACTCCAATTCCTTCTTTTCTCTCCCCACCATTTTCAGCTTATCTTCCACTTCTTTCTTCTGTTCTTCTATTAACTTTAGGTCCTCTTCCATTGCTCTCATTCTTCTCAGCAACCCAGGAATTAGTTCTTTTCCTCTTGCATAGGTCGGTGCGTCCAGCCACTCCCAATGATGCCAATTTCCTCTGTTTCTCTGCAAAGTACGTTTCATAACATCAAAGCTAAACCCATTAAGCAACAAAATAAAATTTCACAGATTAACTTACTCGACTCATCTCACAAACCTCAAATCTTCTCCCAGGATTTAAATCAGTCCATAAAGTCCAAGTTTTGATATATCCACCGCACCTGCATAGCTTCCTCGCACTAGGGCTCGGATTTGTTGACGAAGAAGAAATCTGCGACATTTTCCTAGATTTCCCTTTAAATGGCTTCCCAGATTTCTTTCCAATTTCCAAAATTTCAGCACATCTACTGTTTTTATGTGGCTTTCTTCGAATATAAATGGGAATTGGGGATTTATTTGGCGCCAGATTTGACCTTTTTCGGAGGGAGATGGGAGGTTGGACATGCCAGACATCAAAAGACAAATTTGCCCCTGACGAATCTAAGAGATTCTCACATATGCTTGCCACGTCATCATTTTAAACGGAAAAAACCTAACGGACTTGACGGAAGGACTATTGGTGCAACGACACGCAGAGTTGAGTGACCTCTGCAACTAATAATTGAGTTCAGTGACCCAAATGCAAAACCGGGTATAGTTGAGGGACCATTGCTGCGAAAAACCCTATAATTAAATGCATTCTTTTTTTATTTGATTTAATGTGGCTATAATTGAAAATTTATACAAACTTTGTTTTCTATTCCTACTCAAAACAAACATGGGAAAAGAAATAAAGTTATATTTCCCGATTACTTTCCTAGTATTACCAAACGTGGGAAAAGAATCTTCTATTCCCATTCCTTGGGGAAAGACATGGGAAATGATTTCCCCTCAAATTCATTCCATGAACCAAATGGGGCCTAAGAGTTATTTTCTTTTCAATTGTACGTATGTTTGGTTATGTTTATGTTTCAATAGCTTGGATAGTTTATTTCATCAATTTAAATACTATTTTTTCTTTCTTTTTTTTTTTTTTTTTTTTCTCTTTAATAATGTGGGTACGTAACGAAAATGTTTAACAACAGCCGTGCACAATATGGACTATGCTACGCTTTCTGCTTTTATTTTTATTTTTATGATATCAAATTAGCATGATTTGTATATGACCCAGCATTTGTGGAAGAAATTGGACTCTGTAAAATGAACTGATTTTTTGTAGGTTCAATGTGAAGAGCCTGATCACATATGTTTATAGAAAATGCAACTTATCCACACTATATCATCACTATTTAAAAGGAAAACCACACCAGATGAATATGCCAATCTGCTACAAAGGTTGATGAAAAAGGAGAAAAAAAAAGCTTTGGGAAGCTTGTAAAACCACGCCGGATGACCATGCCAATCTGCAACATCAGAATGCTGCCAGGTGTTGTGTGTTGGATCTTCCCTGAATCCTGCTATCTAATCCTGGATGCTAAATGACTAAGATTAAGTGAAACACGACCGATTTCCCTAAAGAAAATGATCACCAGGAGACAAGTTTAAGTAGAAATACTCCCATGTCACTCCGTTGACCCGAGTTTATCTTCATCTGCCTCAAAAGCCTTCCTCATCTTCTCTTCATCAGTCTCAAAAGCCTTCCTCAGCTTCTCTTCATCTGTCTCAAAAGCCTTCCTCGCCTGCTTCAGCTCTTCATTCATAGACAGCAATTCTCTACAGCGGTTAAGTTTCGGAAAGTCCTGGAGAGTTTACCACATTTACATTAGTGTTTACATCAGCTGAAAGAACGTAATAACAAATCACATTTTAACTGTCATTTATCCCAGGCTTTTAGAAGCAACATGCCAGCTAATTCCATATTATCCAAGTAATTCCAATGTACATTGTAAATAAGGAAGTTACATTGCAGACTATTCTGATAGACTTTCAAACAAAAACAAGTGGGAGTGTAATAAAGTTGTTAGATGGGCTATAAAACATCACATGAGTATTCTTATTACTATTAGCATACTGATATGAGGCCAGCCATAAAATGTAATCACAACAGGAATGTGCTTTTCCTAAATAGTCAACCCGAAGGTTAGGGGGCAATTTTCTAAACACTCTGTTAGATACAACAAATTGGCATGGAATTGACATGAGACAACAACTTTGTGTCAGGACTTTTTTGACCCGATATGGTATCATGATATATTCATGTACAACACAGAATTGACAAAAAATTGAAACTGGATGAAAATAACACAAAAAAGGCACGAAACTAACGTGAAATTGGCAAGAATTAATGCAAAATAACCATGTAAATCACAAAATAACCTTCTGAAAATAACTTCAACGTGACAGTAATGTAATAAATGAGCTGAGTTAGTTTCAAGCTATCAATTAATGAAAGTGTTGTCATCTCATGCCAAGATAACACGATATCGTATCATGTCATGTTCATCTCCTTTTTTTTCCTATGGTGTTAGTCAAAAGCACGAGGAATAGCAACCCCTCAATAAAGTGAGCTGAGGCTAGTGAAACAAAAACTATTGACAAATTGGTTAAAAGTAACTCACTTTTAATATCCAGAACATGAATCCAACTGGCAAAAAAGAAAATTCCCACACAACCAAATTATGCAGTGACACGGACAAAGTCAAGGAAAACATCTGAAATTATTTCAATATTGGACCTTGGACATATAATAGTTCCGAATAGAATCTCTTTAGAAAGAAGATCTTTTGTCTCATGGTAGCATGGAAACAAATTTATATGATACCTTGCGAATTAGATACAGAAAATCTTCAACTGATAACTTTCCCCTCTTTGATCCAATATCTTGGGCTTTATGTACCTGCAAAAATGTTGCATATTTGGGTTTAATATCTGGCATAGCATCTCATTAGCATGGTAAATAGTAACTACCTCTGAGAAATGCTTACCAAATCTGTGATATATTCCACAACAATATCTTCCATAAGTGCCACACTTTCTGGAAGAGGCTGAAAGCAACAGAAAACAATTTCTTTCCTGATCAGTCAATTTTATTAACCAAAAAAACCAAAGAAGAACAGAACCAGAGGCTCAGTTCCAAAGAGACCACAACAACCACGTGCTACATGCCAATATCCAAATTAGTGTCATCTATATAAATATCACATGACATACTGAGAAAAGACTCAACTCTCAAAATTTGATAGTGCTACATACATTTTGATCGTCTCCAAAACCATACATCATGTGCTGCACTGCAACATACAGAAAAGGAACAACATAAACATTTATGAATAACACCCAGAAAGGCTAAATTAGCATAGAGTTTCTGTTAAACACAACGACCATACATACATTCTTTTTGAAACACTCCCCGTTTTCGCTTAAATGAAGTTTCGGATGGCTGCGAGGATCCAGCTTTCGATTTTGAGGACTGCCCTCCAGCAGGGTTGTTCATCTTCTAAACCTTGAAAATATGCACCACGGAACAATTATGCTAACTACAACATAACAGAACTGAATTAGAACTTAATCGAATTCTTCCACTTAATAATTCCAAGAACAAAGCCATTACAAGAACGATGAAATTGACGAAGCACGTAAAGAGGATAACAACAGTAATCAAGAATAAATCCGACCCAGACTTCAGACAAAATCAAATCGAATAAACTAAAATCGTGGAAATTCAAATAAGTGAAACCCTAGGGCACTGTTTGGTTTGAACGAGAGAATTAGAGGGAAAAACAAGAACTACAAAAGAAAATTACGTCGTCAGATCTTCAGAACCCTAAATTCCAATTACAAAAGGAGCAGGACAGAGAGAGAGACTTGCTTTGCTAGATCAGAAAGGCGCCTATATACCAGCGTTTTGAAATGGACCGATTTTATATCTTACCGTTTTCGATCGTTACGGCCACACGAGACACAAGACAAAAGTATATTGACAGGGGTATTCTAGGGACACCCGAACATATACTATTGACACCCAGGAATTTGTTTTTTTGTTTTTATTTAAATAACTAGGACCTACTATCTTTTTATTTTTGCTAGATGGAAAATGGAAAGTGATAGGGGTCGGATCACATAGCTAGTAGGTCACTTTCAATTTACCCCCTAAATTTTGTGTTTTTTAGAATAATTATTATTCGAACTATTATGAATAGCGAATTTATCGCTTACTGTCAAGTTTCTTCACATTTCATTCAAGTTGTCAAAAACAGTCACCCCATCAATTTCCTTTTGAAGAAAAAAAATGAAAGATAGGCGTACAAAAGTTGATTTTCAAGCAGAATCTGAAACGTTTCCTAGCTCAATGTGTTATATTGTACAAATCATACAAACCTTTGATCCCTCATATAGACTACATCATCTTCTAGAGTGCTTTTCAAAGGACATCATATACATACTACTTCTGCTCACTATATAAACCTAAAATGTTGGGCTATTCCCTCTTCTCTTAAGCCTAAGTTTTCTGTAGAAAGTGTAATTTATCTTCAAGATTATAGGCTTTCAGGGATAGGCCTGTACACCACCAACATATGTAGCTTCAATGGATGCAGATCCTTCAACCACGACATCATCCCATGAGTCCCTGGACAGTATGACAAAATCTGCTAGTTTCCCTGGCGACAGGGACCCCAAGTCGCTGTCAAGAAAGCATGCACGAGCAGCTGAAAGAGTGTACCTGCCATGTATCAGGTGGAAGTGTTACACAGTGGTAAGTGTGAGTTGAAACACAACAAAGCAACGTTGATCAGTTGAAAAAGCAACAAAGAAATCGATAAATGAACTGGAACTACTAATTAAGAGAAAAAGACCGTCCCTCTAATGAAAAAAACATATTGGAAAGAAACAAATTTGGTTCCTCACTCTATTTGTCTAAGCGCTGGACACTATCTAATCAGCTTAGCATCCACTACCATGAAAAGAGTAAATCAGAACAAATCATTTTATGAAATAAAATACTAGGTAAGCATGATGACCGTTTCTTTCAGGCCAGTCAGATGGCCACAACAATTACAAGAAAATTAAAACTACCCAAACATAAATGGTGGGAGACAGGAGAAAGTACAATATGAGTTCTACTCATATAGGCTTTGTTGTAAGTGATATGGTCAGAGGTGGCTCTTTCCTCACCACCATCAGCATGTACTTCTTTGCCCTTTCCAGAGAGCTTGTAATTTCTTTTCCAATATCCAACCCCATCATCCGTCAAATCTTGACAGCGTCTTATCCCTTTGAGCTGAACACAGCACACCCGATCCCCTCCCCGGGGGTTATAGAAATAATTACAACTCCTAGATTACCTAAATTTTTGTTTCACCTGAGAGTGCCCTGGTAACAGAAGATTTCTGAAAATTCTACCAACCAAATATGGTTGAGATTAAAAGGGTTTGCCCTCAACAATTATAAACCAGTGAACTTTTATGTCAGAAACTGGCACAGGCAGACAAGGCCCATTCGAATGGGCCTTCACCACAAGTATATCAGCTGTCTGGTTAGCTAACTTGGCGCATTCTTAGTGACTTTGGATATGGGCCTCGCACATCGAAGAATGTGAGTCACCTAAATAGCAGTCTAAAATAGATGATATCTCAAGGATCAAATGTTTCAATGTTGCTTACGCCTTCAATGTGTCATTCAATGAAAGGGTCTCTGAGGGAATCCAAGCAATATCCCAACCAGGGGGTATCCTTTTCATTGCTGTCTTAATTCCACCTAATGGATTAATATCCGCCACCTGCAAAAACAGCACCATTCTGAAATTTACAAAACATATCACACTAAACAAAAAGTATCAGAGAGCCTTGCGATACTTAGGCCTAAAAAATATATCCATGAGAGTCATTATACTTACAGGCCAGTCAGAACCAAATGCCAATTGTCCATTGCTAGCCAAGAGAGACCGGAACAAATAAGATCCCTTCTGAGCCCTATCTATCCCAAGTTTTTTTGTTGCAGACTCAGCATCATCTAATAGGTGCTCTGGCTATGGGGAATTGGTGTTCGAGTATGTAATTAAAATTAAATTTATGCACAGGAACAAAGAATAATGATAATCACTCAGAGGTTTGAGAACTGTTAAGCCAAAAAGGGAAAAGAAAAATGACAATAAAATAAAAGAGGAAAAGGGAGCTCATTCACTGAAGACATTTTAAAATAAAAAAAATAAAAACTTTGCCCAAATGTCAGGCAGCCTGTGTATGCAAGAAGAAAAGACTTCATCCCTATGCAGAAAGTGATCCAAGTGTCATTATGAAAGCATGGTAATATGTGATCCCACACGAAGTGTGTATAAATCTACACCTCTCTCTTGTATTTAAAATTTAACCAGTAGAAGTCCCCTATCCCAAACTCCTACACACACTCAGAAATAAACATGGTAGCAGTCTGAAAAGGTAGGTCCGCTTGGATGCAAATAATCAGAATGTTGTTGAAACATGAACTTTGAACCATTACAAAATAATTCCCACAAATCACTGTGCTTGCAGCCCCATTACCCTAAGAAAGATTAATAATAAATATAAACAGACTAGTGCAGTCAAACCTGTACTGAAGCAACAATCCCTAGTTTACCAAATCGGGCTGGTGTCTCAGGTGCCAGATGCTGGGCATGCTCAATCTGAAAGCAATTTTTTCCTTCGTCATGCAAAACAATAACTAAAAGGAAATAATAAAAACCTGTGAAAATTTATGCTGCTGCTGAGCCATTATTGTTGCGTGAGCAAAATCTTTACCCTGAATCTTCGATCCCTCACTCCATTTGTAGAAAACACTGACTCATACATGTCAAGGATCAAGTCATTTGCTCTATCACCTATAGCATGAATAGCAACCTGAACACAATGTAAAGGAAATTTTAGTAGTACGAGTACATTTACGTCATGTAGGGACAGTTCCAAAGAGATGAGACAACACCTGAAGCCCAACTCTATCTGAAGCCAAGGTCAGGTTGAGGAGACTTTCATTATCTATCACTTGTAAGCCATAATTATGAGGCTCATCAGAATATGGCTACAGATATAAAAGAGAAATATTAGGAAAACAATATATTGACTGGCTAAGCAAAAAAAGCTACTTCCTATCACAGAGGAAGCAACAGTATGAAGCAAATTAGATAAGCTCACTACAAAAAATTCCTAACTTTCCAATGACACTTCCCCTCTCTCAACAACAATAGCAAGAGACACAACAAAGATATACAAAAATAAATGGAATTGGCCATAGTCAATGGATTTCAAAGTTTTTATTCTTAATTTACTAAAAACAAATGCAGATGCCCAAGTACCATCGTTCTCACCTCATAAAACAGTGCACTATTAGAACCCAACGACCCATCAGCAAAAGCTTTAACACCACCCAAGTAAATCCATTGGCTCATGGTACGGCCAACTTTGGTAATAAGATTCTGAAAAGGAAAATACAACTCTAAGAGAAAAATAAATGACAACAAAATTGAAACATCTAATGAAGTTCATAACTAGATTCGTTAGATAAAAACAGAATATTCTAGAAAGTAAGTTGTCCAATGCAAAAACTTGACATCTCCACTTGTTCAAACAAGAGATATAAGAATCCAGAATTACTTATGTATGAAACACAAAAGCTGCAATGTCAAAAGTCTTCATTGCAGGAAGGAAAAGAAGAGTATAGATAATTAACTCACACACATTTCTGATATGGAAAAAACATGAAAAATTTAAATAAATAAATAATAGTGCAATTGCTGAAAATGTTTAAAATAATTGCTCTCTGTAAAACACATTGACAAGGAGAATCGTTAATATGTCAACATAAAGGCCAAACATATGAACAATCATTCTTTAACACTATCAGGTTGAGAATAAATTGAAGTAATATTAAACTCCAAAGAAGAAACCTATAAGAACTCATACATGTAACTGTAACCAAGTCTCCAATGGAAAAAATAAGCAGACCCTAATCATCATCTTCCCTGAAGAATCAGCCCATTTATAAACATCTGCAATAAGTAATAAAATGAGAAAAATAAAAAGTAAAAATAAAAACATTTTAAGCAGCATGAGTAATTAAAAATATTAATCAGTATGGGTGCATCTTGTTGTTCTTAGGATGTAATAAATTTGTGTTGTAATAAATCATCTAACTAGACACTCATCTTTTTTGAGAATATCGTTTTAAATTCTTAATATTTGATCACAACAGGTCATTTAAGAATTGCCTTAAGTTTTGTCATCAGTTTGGTAAGGACAATGGTGATTCCTTAACATGACCAATGAATTCAAGTGAACCAATAAACTAGAAGAATAATGTTTCAACTCACAAGACATCCAAAGAAACCCTTAAGAAACATAATGCAAACCTGAAAAATCTTCCCAGGAATGCTTCACCGATGCCCCCAGGAAAGTATCTACCAACATCAACAACTGTTGTCACACCCCTCATCAAGGCATGATTGCTGGCTCTACTCAAAGCTTCCCTCCGCTCCTCTACTGACACCTCCGGAATGGATAGAAGGAGAAGTCTCATTGCAGAATCAATCAGCAATCCAGTTGGTTCTGCATAACGATGAGTTGGATGATAAGTAATTTCTCCCAGTAGCTGTTACTTATCTAAAGATGAAACAACCAGAAAATAGATGAAAAGGCGGACAAATTCAATCTACTTTTAGATTTAAAAAAGAAAAAAGAAAAAAAGATTCTCATATGTCTTTGTCATCATTTTAGAGTGATAATCCCTTGTAGTGCAATTCATCTCTCTCGGGAGAGTTTTGAATTGAATGTAATAAATGCTCGCTTGAGGTGTAGATCTGGATATGATGAACTTCTTATCCATCCTACTTCCATAGTTGTTAATAAATTTCAGGTTTCTTTTTAGAAAGAAAAAAAATAAAATCTATCCAACAGTTGTCCAAGGCTTCTTCCTAATGTAAAGGTTGTCAGAATCCATATAAATAGGTCCTAATTGTGACTCCAGTGTCAATTCAATCACTATGATTTGTAGGTACAATACGCATGTCATTTTATAACTTGATGTGGGTTGTCAAATATGGAAATCCCAAAACATGTAAGGGACACAGCCATGCATGTTTTTTTAATTAAGGGCCACTAATAGTAAATAATTATGTATTCTTGTTGTAATTTACCATTTTTACAGAAAGACTTAAAACTTTTGCAATCTTCTTGAATAAATCAAGGAAATTATTGGGACATGGGTAACAAAAATGTCATGTCCACAAATATCCAACACCCTCAACACTTCTATGTCGGTTGTTATATCCAAAGAATTGAAAAGATTCAGGATGGCCCACTGAAAGCATCTATGACATATGAACACAGTTAAACAATACCTCCGCTGGTGAATCTCACAATTGTTCCACCATTTGGATCTTCTGATGAAGTTGTAATCCCAGCCAACTTGAGTGCAACTGAATTAGCCAAGCCCATATGGCCATCCATCCTCGACAGCCAAACCTGTAAAATAATGTATATTAATGAAATAAAAACACTATTGTGAAAACTATCAAAGCACCCGAAATTCATTTGGTTATGACTTACAGGATTGTAAGGTGTGATGTCGTCAACCCAAGAGGCCATTGGCAATTCCCCTCCCCAAAGATCATTGTTCCATCCACCACCCAAAATCCAGGAACCTTGATTTGTATCTGATTTTTCATTTGATTTTCTTTCAAATACGAGATTTCAAAAGACTATACAATTTAACAAACACAATAATTTATTTTGGAAACATTCAATGGCTATTTCAGAACATCCATTTTATAAGAATTTTAGGCATTGCCAATGATGCTCTGTCTGCACAACTGCTTTTCATAATTAAAAGTGATTTATATCAGATTGTTAGTCGTAGTCATCATCAATAAATACTCCCTCTCCAGAACTATTTTTGCAGGCTAAATGGTGATCAACAAGCACATAAAGAAGAGTGATTAATGGTTTAATATTTCTTACTAAATGAAACGCCCTACCTTTTATTCTATGACCTTTAACATCTGGCCAGTTTAATTGTTTGAATTTAACTCCTGTCTGCTTCATATATGTTCTTACAATAACTTATGGAGCTTCCATATTGCCCATCCTAAAGCTTGGGAGAAGAGTCCCTAACTCTTGAATAACAACTGGAATTGTAACAATTTTACATTAGGACTTCACAGCCAAACCTTCAAAAAAGAACAATCAAAGATTTTGGCACATACTTTGTGCATTTTTCTAACTCAAACAAGAATACGAATAGACATGTCTAGCCATGACATTCCTGTGTCTATAAGTTGCACGATAAATTGAGAAAATTATAAAAAGGCAGGGAACTGACTTCTCACTGCTTCTTTGACCCGCCTCACAAATTCATCTTTTTGACTTACGCCTCGTAGTTCCACACGCGCCATCTGTTTTCCAATCAGGAACATTTCAAATGCATATATAGAAACTTCAATAAGCAAAGGAAAATAGATAAATAATAAATCATTTGGTTATTGTACAAAGTTTATGTTACACAAATTTTGCAAAAAAAAATAGATGGAAGGTTGGAAACACAGTTTAAATACTCGTGAAGCATTGAAGTTGTTGAATGAAAGTTTCAGACATTATAGATTTCCCGACAGTACAAACCTGAGTGTTCAAACTAGTTCAAGCCAGATAGTTCACAGATTTATTGAAATTTTCACATAAATGAACACACACACACACAAACACGTAATGGCATATCCAAAGAATCAAATTGAAATCTAGAAAAAATAAAAATTCAAATATGTAACACACTTCAACAACGGTTTGAAATGGAAGATGCACGATGCAAGGAACTCAAGCCTTGAACAATTGATGTGTAATGGGGTTTTCGAGTGGTTCAGCATTCATTTCAAGGCTTTGGGGAAGGGGAGGAGAGCCAAAACCTTGTGGGGCAGTCTGGTGTTAGCTATATTTTTGGTAATTTGTCTGGTATTAGCCATCTTTTGGGTAATTTGGATGGAGCAGAATAGGAGAATTTTAAGGATTACAAAGGGGTGGGAGTGGAAGATCTTTTGAGTTGAGTTGGATGTTGGTCAGCATTGTGGGCATCAGTATATGTATACTTCAGGGGGATTCCTTATTCATCTATTCTGTCGGATTTGTTAGCTGTGGTTCAGTTTGTTCTATGATGATGTGTTTCCTACTGTCAGATATTGTGTTTTGGTGTTTTGTTTCTTATGCTAAGTTGTCTGTGGATGTCCCATCCACATCGTTCTACATAGCTTTTGCTTGAAATAAAGCATGTTTCTCCTCCAAAAAAAATTTAATTGTTTCATTACAGACAGTAGTTTCTCGAGGGCAAAAAGAGCATATAATATTCGAAACAAGATCAATTTTAACTATGGCACTTGTGCCATACCTGGAGTCCACCAGAAATCAGATGCACGTGGGAATCAATAAATCCAGGTACAACAATTTTTCCCATAAGATCTAACTCCTTGGTCCCATCTCCAACCATATCCTGCATTTGAATGAATGTATAAGGGAAGGGTATTTTTACAATTTACTGGATTAAGTACCTTTGTTGGAAACTAACAACAAAATCCATATGATGCAATGAAGAGGTTATAAGGTTTGCCAGAATGACAGAAAAGACAATACATATAAGAGACCACAAAATCCATATAAGTAGATAAAAGAAACATAGAAAGATAGAAAAGACAACACCTGAATGGGCCATCCAAAACCTAAGGACGGGCAACTTTGAAATTAGACAAAAACAATGTAGTGGTCAACAATAACAGCAAAATATCAATCAAGCTGTTTAGATAAACATACAGAAAATTACGCAGTTTCTTGGAAAAGTAAGGAGGGAAAATACACTTCATAGTTGAGTAAATGGACCATTCTCACAGAGGAGCCATTAGTTGAGGATCATAGTAAGATGAACCACAGATCATTACAGTTTGCAGACCAAGATAAGGAATGTGGCTTCTTATAACATAGAAAAGTTATACAATCATACTAATTGTACCTATGTTTCTCTAGCCTCATGAGAATTTAGTGAAACCCCCCTGAAACAACACTTCTCAGTTTCTGGTTGACCATCAATGAAAATGGATTTTCCGAGAGTTACATTTCATCATATGTAGTCACCCTCAAACCCCTACTTTCAGAAATTTTCGGACAAAATTAAAACATTACCATTTTAAGAATCTTAAAAAACCCACTCAAACGATAATTTTGACTCTCCTACTAGCAATCATAATATCACCATCTTTTTACATGGCTTCCACTGTTTCACGCAATAAGAATAACTTGTAAAGGTTTTCTTTCTCACAACTTCTTTCTCATAACAATAGTACCTACCTACCCACTAGCTATATAAGCTTCAAAATGATTCCATGTGTATATTTGGATTCAATGCAACAAAATTTATGGCCCAAATATTTGGTTCCGAGCTGCAATCTCACAAGCATCACAAAAACCGACCAATACATTCAACTCTTAAGAAGGAGGGAGGTAAGGAGCGAGGCAAAGAAGCAAATGGTGAACCTTAATAGAGGAGTAGTTGCCCACTCGCAGAACCCTTCCTCTGCGGACGGCCATGGAATCGGCGAAAGGGAGAGACTCGTCACTGGTGTATATCTTGGCATTTTTCACCACCAAGTCCGCCATTGGAGACCTCTAACTAACACTCTCATCACAAAAAAAAAAAGAAAAAAAAAAAAAAAAACAACAAAAAAAAAAAAATTTTATTATATTAAAATCTGATCACAACTTATAAAGAACCTGCCTTATTTTTTTTTAATGAAGTAAGAAAGAAAGAAATTTAAATTCATCATTTTACGGTGGTTGGGTTTGAGAAGAGGAAGAGAGGCTATAATGGCGAGGACGACAGCTACAGAAGCAGAGACGACGGTGAGAAAGTTGTTCATTTTCGAAATTTGGAGAAGGAAGAGTGGCTCAAGTTTCAGTCCAGTGGAGTGTTTGATGTAAAATCTCTCCCTCTCAACGTACGGTTACAATTTCTACGCGTCAAAAGTACAAGAAATTTTTAGGATTTTGGCATCGGATTTCATTTGGTCGAATCCATAACAAGCTGACCCATTTCTTAACGGATTGAAGTCAAGTCAAATGTGTACTCGTAAAACTCAGTTAACTTAACACCCACTGCTTTTGTCTTTTCATTTTTTATAAGCGCAAGTGCTACAGTACTCCCTAAAACAGTGGTAAATTTCCATTAAACCCCTTAAAGTTAAAGGACTCACTTTGTCCATTTGACCGATGTTTTGTGTCTCATTTTGCTCCCTTACTGCCAAGCCAAGTTTGTTAAAAATTCCGTTAAAAATGCTGACATAGCACCAATGGAACTCACTATTTTACTAAACTAAGTGCTATGTGTGAAGAAAAAAAATTAAAAATTAAAAATTATCTTTAAAAAAAACTAATTTAATTATTAAAACCAAAAAATCCCAAACTCCCCTCCTCCAACCCCATTATCCCTTTCCCAGTCGCCATCACCACTGCCATAACCACCCCCGACTGCTCCTCCCTCTTCTTCTCTCGCAGACCCAAAACTCAGCCCCCTCCCTAAGAATATGCAAGTAAGAATATGCAAGTCATCAAATAGTGTTCCAAAGAAAAGAGGAATTGGGGTGGATCCTCGCTGGAGGTCGACGAAACGGACGGGTAGAGTTGCTATCAGGTCTAGTTGTCGCAGTTAAGAGGCTTAGCTTGTCAGACTCTAACGACATTCCAGCAATCAATCTCCAAAGTTTAGCCTCTTAACTGCGACAACTTGACCTGATAGCAACTCTGCCTTGTATACTCTTCCAAACCCTCCTTTTCCAATACAGTACTTCTCATGAAAATCATCTATGGCCTTTACAAAATCCCTGCAAAACAATCAAATTTTAAAACCTAATCCCTTCAAGAACTGTTGCAGAGTGGTTTGATTTAAAATAACTCACCTTTAAGATCAGTCTTCTGTCAGAGTGGTAAACCCCTATATACTGAAAGCAGACCCCCATATACTGAACACTGGTGAAGGACGATAGGAATGGCCGTACCGGGTTCACCTGGTTCAAAGCTTATAACCCACATAGCAAGAAAGTGGTGAGTGTAGGTTTGAGTTCAGCAATTGTTCAGAATATGAGATGAGTTTTAGAGGCAGGGAGGATGGGTTAATGGGGATGAAATGGATGCGAGAGTGGAGAGGGTAGAAGAGATTACAAGTGAGAATGGGTGGAGGAAGTTTGGCTGTTATGTGATTGTGGAGAGTTTCTCCTTGAGAAGAATGGATGGAAGTTTGGCTTGGAGATCTGATTTTAGGCACGCTGATAAGATTCGAACAAGGTTTTGTGCTAGATTGTTGTCAAGGTACCAAAAACACAGATTTTAAAGTATAATTTTTATTTTTAATAGTTAAATTATGTTTTTTAAAAGTCAATTTTTAATTTTTAATTTTTTTCTTCACACATGGCACTGTTTAGCATAGGGGTGGTTGCGGTTTGGTAACCGCGAATTTTTACTTAAACCGCAAACCGACCGACTATTTGCGGTTTGGTGATTTTTGAAACCTCAAACCGATAGTGTTTTTCGGTTTACCGCATTGCGGTAAACCGCAAAATGCGGTCGGTTACCGCGAATTAGCGGTTTAAAACCGCAAGTTCTCAAGCATTCACAAAAATATAAATTCACAACCTAAATTTCTCAAACATATATAAATTCACAATCTCCTCAACTTCTCAAGCATTAACAACCTAAGAAAATTAAAGTTACAATTCCAAGCATTTCAATTAAAGTTAAATTTCTCAAGCATTCCAATTCCAAATCCTTTAAAGTTACAAACCAAAAGCAAAATGCAAAGCAAAATGAATTAAAGTTACAACCAAAAAGAAAAATCCAATTCAAAGTTAATTAAAGTTACAAACTAAAAGGAAAATGCAATACACCAATGTTACAAACTCAAGTGTTGGCGGTGAGTGGATTTGAAGAACCCCGTTGTGTTGTTTGAGCACCAATGTTATCTACAAATAAAGCAACATAGTTTAGTACATTTTATTATAAAAAGAAGTATAAATAACATTAGCATAAATAAACTAATTACTTACAAGTTGGCATATGTTCCATTTCCTTGTAGAATTCAACCTCATCATCCGTGCGGCTATATTTTGCGGTTTGCGGTAACCGCAAGTTTTGAAAATCAAATACCGCAACCGCAACCGCAAATGCGATTCGGTTCTTAATACCGCAAATGCGATTCGGTTTACCACGATTGTGGTTTCATTGCGGTAAATTGTCGGTTGGTTTTTGCGATTTTCGATTTTTCGATTTAAAATGCCACTCATAGTTTAGCAAACTAGTGTGTTACATTGGTGCCACATCAGCATTTTTAACGGAATTTTTAACATATTTAATGGTGAGGAGCAAAGTGAGACACAAAACATCAGTCAATAAGGCAAAATGAATCACTTTAACTTTAAGGGGGTTTAGTGGGAATAGACTAATATTTCATGGGGCACTGCAGCACTTAAGCCTTTTTATATATTAATATTATTATTTTTGAAGTAATTTTTTTATACAATCGATAGTCTAAGAGCTCGTTTAGAACTAATTCTCTAGGAGATAGAAATTCGAACTTGAGTGCAAGGGATCGGGTTTTGACTAACTAGCTTAACTCACGTGTGCATTCTTGATAGTGATTTGACATTTGTTGTGTAACACATTAGCAGTTATTTTCACCTAACCCACAGAAATCAGGGAGTTTCTTGGTCAACTATAAACTCAATTTATAATTTCTAATGTAATTTCCTTTTGGGGTAAATAATCCTTAACTCAATTTCAGATCGAAAATTGAAATGACTTTGCCCCTTGAATCACATGTTCCATTGCAGGAGGTCCCAATTAATGGCAAATGGTTAAAAAAGTTACATCCCACCATTTGGGATACTCAAGTTATTCTTGGAATTACAGCAGCATATTATGTTTATAGTGTTAGCATGGACCTGAACGTCATAACCGGCTAGTGGTTATTAGAATCTTACTAGTTTTGAGTCAGAACAGTTGTGTATTAAAAGAGCTACTCAAGTGTAAGCCAATTTAATGGCTCTCTCTTTCCTATTAAAAATTTGTGGGGCAATCAGATATCAGACTACGGTCCAAGTATTGTATATTGATCAAATTACAAAATAACAAGTCGCTGCAGTTCAGTGAAATCTGTTCCACTTTTGAAAATGTTTCAAATTTCACAGTTCAAGCATATAGTAATGTTTTCAAATCAATGCTAGATAAAACTGTTTTGAAATGAGAGAGCCTTGAGTACACATCTGCCTTGAGTTGATTGCCCTTGAAGAGAGTAGCTTCGGCATCAGGCAGGCTTAGCTTTAGCAATCTGGCTCTGCAGAGTCCAGGCGGAATCCAACGGAGTTCAGAAAAGCATGGAGTTGATTGTGTTCTTGTTCTTTGCTAGCTAGCCAACTGTTTTTGAAGCCGAGCTACGATTTCAGTCCTCACTTGCTGGAGCTGTTGATACTTGAGACTACAAGCTTTCCTCTCTTGCTCCAGGTGTCGAACACTAGTGCTGAAAGTGTTCTTGTAAACTTCGGCCTCCTTGTAGTTCTTCTCAATGGCTGCCCATTGTCCAGCCAGATCCCGGAAGTCCTCTGTAAAAGTTAGACTAGCTTCCAGAAATGGTAGAGGCAGCACCTGTTCTTTGGCAAGCAGACACAAATCTTCCATCAGCTGATTGACGGATTAATAGCCTTGTTCAACAGAAAACCCTTCGTTTCTCCATTTTTCACTCGAAACATGGCTTATTCGGCAGCTGCAGTTGGAGGAGGACCCCTAACTTCCTTGTTCCTGTGCATCAGAGCGAATCTAAATCCAATTTGCTAAAGTCTGGGACTGAAGAGTTTTCTGGGACAACAGGTCCACAGTCGAAAAACTAGCCAGAGACTCCTGGAAAGAGACTGAAATTAGAAAAGAGCTCAGAATAACATAAAATAACCAAAACTCCATCATGATAAGCCGCACCTTTGCATCAGCTTCTGGTGATGCTGAAAATGCATTCTGGCTCTGGGGCCTTAATCACATCCTCTTTAGACGAACATTCTGAACAAAACAAAGCTTTAAATTTTTTTTGCTTCTACAATGGTCATGCCAATGCAAGCAGATGATACCTATACGTATGCGTCGTCAATGGTAAAATAAAATCATGTATCTATTAGGGTATTTAAGATTTACATAAGGTAGAGCCAAATTATGTTGCAAAAGGACCCAAATTTTCTTCCAAACAAGATTCAGTAGCCACCAGATAATTCCCTTGAATTTTTTTTTCTAACTGTATAAAGGCAGGCACAGATCTATGAATAGGAGATGTTGCTCGAGTATCTACAGGACCTAAATTATCAACAAGCTCTCCAAGCATTTCCCTGTTTAAATTGAACATACACACAAATGGAGTGCTTATGTTGTTTGCAAGTGCCTGCTAAACAAGTGCTCTCAAGATCATGACTGCAATTGTTAGAGCCATTATTACAGATAGATAACCTAGTTAATGTTTCTTTTGCGAACAATTTTCAAGTAACACAACACATTCGAAAACTCGGATCTCAAAAAATGTGCAACACATTGAGAAAGAAAGTAAAGAAGTAAAAAAGATTACCGTTCCCTGCACCCTTCGCACTTCACATGAGTTCATCCGGATTATACGGCATCTCACACTTGCAATGCCTTCAAAACAGACAGACAAAAACAAACCCATCACATTCTATCCACATAAACACCACATTTCCACTAATTAAAAATCAAAGCAACAGCAAGGACCCACTAGTGTAGTGTCACTTCCTCCCCCAAGAAAAGTCGAGTCCGTAATGTGTGTGAGTTTATATATTATAGCCCATTTCAATAAGAGAGGTCTTCCAAAAAAGAAAAAAAACCAAAGCAACCAGAAAGCAAATGACACTCACACAGCAACTATGTCTGGTGCAAGCTCTCCAGCATCAACTTTGTACTCAAATCTACAGTAGTAATTTTCAGCTCCCACATTCTCCAGCTTGCGTAGTTCTTAAGAGAGTGGACCCTACACTTGCCTTCAATGGTGTCAGCGCTCTCCGATCATCATAGAGGTCAGACAAGGAGCTCTTTGGCTCCATGAAACTTTCTACGCCCTCCGATCGACTCCTCTGGCCTATAGTACGACCTCACTCTCACTTTCGCATTGCTCTAGTCGTCCTAGGCTTCAATCTTCTTGATGCATGCCAAGCATGGGGGCTTACCGGTGACCGATGGGCCTGTTGACACAGAAAAATGGTTTGGCTTTCCCGATGTTTAAGTAAGTACGGATTTAGTAAAGTTGAACTACATATCAATAGGCAGTATGCCGTAAGTTCTGATTACCTCCATTTTGGGATAGTTGTCCTCTTTTATAGATCTTGGGAGGTGTGCACTTTGTTTAGAATTTCGATGTGGGACTGTGGACACCAATTGTGGGACTGCCACGTGTCCTGAGAGAAATGTTGCCCTAATCGCGGGATCGGTAGAGGGGGTGCCGAAGGCGACCATGGTTAAGTTTCAGTTCCATCATAGAGGTCAGACAAGGAGCTCTTTGGCTCCATGAAGTTTTCTACGCCCTCCGATCGACTCCTCTGGCCTATAGTACGACCTCACTCTCACTTTCGCATTGCTCCAGTCGTCCTAGGCTTCAATCTTCTTGATGCATGCCAAGCATGGGGGCTTACCGATGACCGATGGGCCCATCAGCACCCAATCCCCCACTGCAAAACCACCATTTCTTCAACACATTTCCATTCCCGCAAAATAAAAAAATAAAAACAAATCAAAATTATTGTTTTCCTTCTCGTTTTCTTTACCTCTGACGACTTTGTTGTTGCCTCTGATCGTGTAAGAATCCATGTCCTTTCTCTCCGGTCTAGTTTTGGTCATGAGGGTCATTTTCAAGGAAGCCTTGCCTTGGTGTTAAAGAAATGTAGCAACTTTGAAGCAACTTCAATGGCGTAAACCGGTTTACTCTCAAAGCCCTAAAATTTGGACAACCCGTAGCATCAAGGAAGCCTTGCCTTGGTGTTGAAGAAATGTAGCAAGCAACTTCAATGGCGTAAACCAGTGTACTCAACCCGTAGCATAAACCCTAGGCCCTCCTTTTGCTATAGAAAAAAAAGAAAGAGGGAGATAGAGTGCTAACTGTCACGGTACCTTCATGGTTGGAGTTAGATATTTCATGCTCATAATACCATCTTAAATTATGGGTTGTTGTAAAGAAAATGATGGAGCCCACATAAAGAAAAGAAGGAATAATATTCAAAAAGCTTAATGATGATGTTGGAAGCCATCCAATTTGCCTATAAATAGGCTTCCCATTGCTTAGCAAAACACACCAACGAGAAGAGAGGAAAGAAAGGAAGAGAAGAAAGGAAAGTGAGAGGAAACAAAAGAGAGTGAGTTATATCTGAGTTCTACTCCCATTATTCAGTAGTACTTTTCATACTGTGATTATTTTATTTTTATAACATGGATTACATTATATAAGTAAATTGTAAGATTTAGTCTACTACAATTTATGTATGTATGCTAAATTTGAAGTAGATAGGTGATCATTGAAAGTGATTTGTTGGAGGTGATTAAGGATGTGAATCGAACTGAATTTTACAATAGCATGGAAGGAGAGTTTGATAGAAAGCTAAAGAATTGCTCCATTGTTTTGCATTTGTATCTTTGCAACACCAATCTCGTTCATGCAATTTTGTGGCTTGCCAAAAATTTTGCTTCATCTTGTAATGAGACATGGTAGACGGTACTAGGCGGACACACTTGAATGAAATAATTTTGTTTTGAAGGTAAATGAACTCAAGGTATCCCACTTAATTACTGGAAGAAATCAAATATTTCAAGGAGAGAGATCGGGTATAACAGGAGAGAAAAAGAAAACAACGATTCATATCTGATGCATTATAGAAAATTGTTAAATCATTACCAAAAAAATAATGACGACCCCATAAAGTAACTTAGCTTCATGACAATACAGTGTAGAGCAATTTAAAAGCTACGAAATCTCACTGATATTCAACCACAATTTTTAACAAAATAAAATTCAAGCTATCGACACCGGAATTTGCATATTGTAACAAAAACAACACACATTATTTTTTGGCTAAAAGCTTTGGCCTTCTTTAGCTCCATCAAAAGCAAAAGCCGGTTCCTATCTATCCCAAGTTAAAACAAAGGCCTTCTTTTACTTCAACGTTTAATTGGAGTGTGCATCCGCTCAACAATTTCATTTACAGCAGTACGGGACATCACTAGTGTATCATGCTGCAGGATGCTGTAGACGTTCAAACCCTGCAAAACGTGTGAAATACAGATAAGTACTGATTTCAAACGGAACTTACACGGCAGCTGGTTCATGTATCTACAAAAATTGAAATCGTTATTTTGGTTGTCATAGTTCTTATATATGGTGACCACAGCGAAAGCTGAGCAACAGTATCATGAATACCAGGAGATAGAAAGAGAGAGGTTTTAGTTCTTGTGAATCAAACATGCTCGACAATGTAAAAGCTTTTGTCAATAATTTCTACTCTAACCCATTGCTGATGGATAAAGAAGCTCACTGGATTCGGAACAATGTGTCCATGTGGAATGGCATCTCAGGCTGCATATAGTTTGCTAGCTATAATAAAAACACTTATTAAGGGTCACAAAGAGCAACTCACTACTGCGGGCAGCACGTTCAAATAATGTAAATTTTGTGTAGCCAACTTGAGCTTTTCAGGTAAGATACCATCCACCAGCAGAAGTTTCTTGGAGTCCTCCATTTGCTGGACGTAGTTCGCTATATTCTTGGTTTTATGTGTGGGGACCTCAAAATCATCAAAAAATAGAAGCTGTAGTTTCATACAGTTTCTCTAGTTAAGTTCCATATAAAACATAAAAGTTTAAATATTTAATTAAAATAACTCAACCCATTTTATAACTAAATCCAAACATAGCACAGAGAGAGAGAGAGAGAGAGAGAGAGAGAGAGAGAGAGTTGCCTTTCCCTCTGCTGCTCTAGCTGTCAGAGCAATCTTTAGCCCTAGACGCCGGACCTTCTTATTCAGCTTAAAAGCATGGCTTCGTGGCTTAGGACCATGCATTGTGGAACCTCCTCTGAACTGTTAACACCCATTATATTCATTATGCAAAAGCATCTTTAAGGCAGACTTTGATTGAAAATCTAGAAACATACTAATTTCAAAACATGATAAATCAGTACCTGGGGACTACGCAATGATCCCTGCCTCGCTCGACCAGTACCCTTCTGATTCCATGGTTTTCTCCCAGTCCCACTAACCTCACTAATAGTTTTTGTTGAATGTGTTCCCTGTAGACCACTCAACAAGCGTAAGCTTTTTTTATCTCTTTCCCAAATTCACTTGTGCATAGTCTCACCAATATTATTTCAGTGGTCATTAGACCACCAAAAGTATGAAAATTCTAAACATGGATGACAAGAATTTCAAAACAAATGACATGTGAAAATAAAATATAGAAAAGTTATTCGTCAATTTAGTTCCTCTTATGCAAGAACCCATATACTTATCCCCTTCCTTTTTCTTTTTCTTTTTTTTCCAATTTACTATGTATGCAATCCAGAAGCTTTTTCAGCAAATGCTCCCCACATTTCCCAACCAAAACAAAAAATCACACACTCTGTATTTCCAACTTCCAAGTGGCATAGCAGCCTTTCTCTTTTTTATAAATGTTCAGGAACAGAATGCAATATTGCTAAGCCATCATTTAGTGTTAATGCTTCAATTTATAGATAAGTCAATACCTGTTGCCGTTTTGCTAGCTGCCACAGTACAACCCGATGAATGATATCCTTCCTAATAGGTACATCAAAAACATCACCAGCCAAAACTGTGAAGCCTTTATCTTCATTATGAAAATTTGTCACTGGAATTACAAGGTCTTGATAGAGTCCTATATCACAACACACAAAATCATTAAAACAGTCCTACACATTTATTTTTTATAGATAACATTAATAAAACATCCCGACAACTGGTTTATAATGTAAACCCAGTAAAGTAATAATAAGCTTTACCACAAACTAACAATTGCTGCATACCTACACACTACCTGGCCTGTGTTTTGACTTACTATTTTCAATGGGTTTTAAGTCTTAACGAATGAGTTTCGTCCATAAATGAATGTTACCCATTGTATCTTATTGTATAAGTCATATGGTTAGGTTTTAAGCTATAAAATTTATGCTCATTTTTTGGGTTTTTTTTTTTTTTTTTTTTTTTTTTTTTTTTTTTTATAAGATATATATGGTTTGACCTTTCCTCGTACCTATATTACCGCTCTGAAGCAACCACAGGCTTTGCAGACAATAAATTAGAGGGAAATGCTCCTCCACTTGATTCAGGAGATGGGATAGAAGTTGAAAGCCTTCGATTGGCTAGAAAAGACGATCCAGCCTATATTGAGATACAATATAATATGAGCTCATTACTATGTTTCCACAGAAAGCTAAGCATCCAATAAATCACCATGTACATGAACATGCTGCACTGGTTCATTTGATAGTAGATATGATGCAATAATACCTTGGAAACAGCTGAGAATTCTTCAGGAGAGACAACCCCTGGAACAAGGCCGCACAAATCGGTTCAAGGACCAAAATAAAGGTAGAAAAAAATTAATATTTTGCAATGCCACAAAATGTTCCGATCATACAAAGTCAAATAACAAAAAGCTTACAACAAAAGTATGCACGTCCTCACCAGAGAAGCATGAAGTGATGGATATAAACTACTTGGAGAGTCACAGCGGCCCGATGCTAAGACGGAGCCAAATGAGCGTAAAAGCCTTCTGGATACCGACAAAGCCATACTTAAAAAACACCACCAAGACTTGGCCGAATTATATTCAACTGGGTTATCTACATCCACAAACCAGCTTTCTCAAACAGTGGCGGACGCAGAAAATCAATGATTGCTGCTGCTCGGGTGGGGATTAGAATCGGGTAGATAGGGCTGCTGATGGGGTTTTTTGGTTTTTTTGAAAAACCTGGCTCAAAACGACGTCGTTTTGAAGGCAGTTTTTTTAAAAAATTTAACACGCTTGGACCAAAACGGCGTCGTTTTGGCCAGGCAGTTTATAAAAAAAAGAAAGGAATCAGCGCGCGCGCGCAAGGCAGGCTGCCTGCGTAAGCTTCTTCTTCTTTCCTCTGCTGGACATTTCGTCGAACACTTGGTGTGCATTACATATGTGATTTTGTAACTTTTTCCGTTTAGAATTGAAGCAAGTTTTGGTATAATTTTAGGGGAGGGTTTTTTTTTCCTCCAAAGCTCACGCGTTAAACTGACCTTTAACGTTTAACATCAGTTTTTGAGCGTTGTCCTTCAGTGTTGAAATCGTGATCGATTAGGAGCAAATACCATCAACGAATAATTGTTGAATCCATTCACAATTATCCAGATGCTTGTTTCTTTGGTTTTAGTGAAGCCACTGATGGTGTCAAGTTAGTGATTCCAAAACATTAGGTTGTTATAAGCCACGGTAGAGCAGACAAACCTAATATAATCAAAACAAGATTGATTATAAAGGATGTTTGTCAAATTGGTATAATGTAATATACATATATATGTGGTTATGATTCTATGAACAAATATAATGATAATCGTATCTCTGCATATAAGAGGGTGCGAACCACAACCATTAAAAATTGAAGGCCCCATATAGCAAGGCAGTGAAGCAAACCCAGAGGAAAGAGCACCCAAAACCATTCAAAATTGAAGATACCAGATCAGGGCCATCCTGAAGCACAAAATTTCAGGAGCCAAGAGAGAAAGAAACATGCTCAAACTGACGTTAAGGGAAAAAAGACGTGCCATGTTTTAAGACGTTAGATTATTAGAATTGTTTGGTGACAGGACCCCTCCCGAATTTTCCATTGGAACCTGTGACGAACCCTGTTGCCTGTCCAATTTTTTTTTTTTTTTTTTTTTTTTTTTTTTTTTTTTTTTTTTTTTTTTTTTTTTTTTTTTTTTTTTTTTTTTTTTTTTTTTTTTTTTTTTTTTTTTTTTTTTTTTTTTTTTTTTTTTTTTTTTTTTTTTTTTTTTTTTTTTTTTTTTTTTTTTTTTTTTTTTTTTTTTTTTTTTTTTTTTTTTTTTTTTTTTTTTTTTTTTTTTTTTTTTTTTTTTTTTTTTTTTTTTTTTTTTTTTTTTTTTTTTTTTTTTTTTTTTTTTTTTTTTTTTTTTTTTTTTTTTTTTTTTTTTTTTTTTTTTTTTTTTTTTTTTTTTTTTTTTTTTTTTTTTTTTTTTTTTTTTTTTTTTTTTTTTTTTTTTTTTTTTTTTTTTTTTTTTTTTTTTTTTTTTTGTGTTGTTAATATGTTAACTCGCAATTGTACGGGCCAATTAGTAATATAGCAAGACAAGTACGAGGTCGTACCCACGAGGACTGAGAAGTTAAAATTAGTTATGTACTTAGATTACCAAATTCAAGAAAGTAGGAGGTTAAGTCTAAAATAGAATTTAAAGCAAGAGTGATTGTAATTGTTGAACAAATGAGGCAAAACGAAATTTCAAACAAAAGCAAAGTGAGCAAATGTAACAAAGAGTGTTTTTTGTGGGCTGGAAAACAGATTGGGAGACTAGGGCATTCGATTCACCATAACAATTCAATTCTAAGTTATAAGGAGTCAAGTGACAAGTCTAATTCAGATTCAAAGATTGATTCTAGCTAAAGTATGATTAGGCCATGGTGTCTGGTCCTAACCTTGTGTTCCTAATTCCCTAACTTGATCATTTGTTGTCTAACCTAAATTAAGCATTAGGAACTCATTAAGCATAGAAGAACAATTTAAACAACCAAGCATGTATCTGATCCCTGTTGTCGAATGTCCATACATACTTTTCTTATTCATAGTTCAATTCGAATCAAAGCATGGTGTCTACTCTTGATTCAAACCAAGATAGCTAATATACAAGTTCTAATGGTGATCAATCATCCAAACAAGCATATTAACTGATAAGCATAATGAATAAGAACATGAATCATGAATCAAACTTGAAACTCAAAACTTCAACTTATAAACCCAGAATATTCATGTTAGGTTACACCGAAGTCCTAGTTATGAATTTAGCTACTCATAATGGAAATGAAACTTAAACAGAAATGAGAAAACATAATGAATGTAATAAGAGTGGAAAAACCCATTTCTGAAGTTACTTGTGGTGTCCAAGGCTTCTCCAAGTGCTTCTCCACACCTAATGCTGCTCCAAGAGCTTCCTCACATCTAGAGTATGGCAACTAAAGAGGTGATTTGGGATGAGTTTGGGTGAGTGGTGATGGCAGAGAAAGAGGAAATTCGTAGGGAAATGGAAGGAAGGCTTGTTGGAGCTGTTTTGGTGATTTGGGGCTGAATGGAGTGTTTGGGGAAGGATGGGAGTGTTAGAGGATGGCTGAAGTGAATTTTAGGCTGAATGGAGTGACTTCCCTTTGAATGAGTGTGCATCACTCAATTTATATAGTGCAAATTCGTGCTCCCCCTTTGGCTGGTGAAGCACACCCATTCCTAGCTATTCCCACTTGTCTGAGCTGCCCATTAGGTTCCCATGCTGCTGATTTGATGTGTACCCATGCCTCTGAGTTTGTCAGCTGCCCATGCCTTCTGAGTTTGTCAGCTGCCCATGCCTTCTGAGTTTGCATGTTGTCTTGTCAGCACATGGCTCAACAGCTAGCAGTTGCATTCCTGAGCATGGTGTGCATTTTGATGGGCTCACGGATTGGGCTTGACTTAATCAATTGATACATTTGAGTTGTCCATCTTGAAGTTCAGACTCCCATCTTTCCAAGCACATATTACATGGGCCAATCAAAGTTGGGAGAAAGACGTTAAGGCCGAAATGAGTTGCCAACCCAGTCTGCTCGTTTTTGCACCATTTTGCATCTTTTCTTATCCAAAGGCACCATTGCTACCTAAGGCCCAATTAACTGAATGATAAACAGAAAAGGGATTAAAAGCACACGTTTGACTCAATAACATAACCAAATCATAAGTTAGAAGGGTACAAAATGATATGCAATTGTGAACTGATCAATGGGGGAGTGCATCGTTGGTGAGGAACGCCCATAACGAGGTCATCCAGGTTAGTGCCTCGTCTACAACCATGCTAATGCAATCCGCCATGTCGATGCTTTTTTTGGCTAGATACTCAATGGGGATGTTTTGGGTGAGCTTGGTATCGAGAGCCAGATAAGGCGAGCTAGTGAGTCGGCTCGAGTATTTTGGTGCATGGAATCTGGACGATGGCATGTGATCGGAAGGAAGAGAGGAATCCCTTGACCTTCTTGTTTGCTAAGAATATGGCAAAGCATGACATGTCATGACACGCCAAGCCTTAAACAGCCTTGCTCGAAAAGCCTCAAATAGCCTCGCTTGCCTTAAATATGGCAAAGCATGTCATGCCATGGCGTGACAAGCCTCACATAGCCTTGCTTGACAAACCTGAAATAGCCAAGCTAGCCTTTAGTATGGGAAAGAAGGCCATGCCATGGTACGCCAAGCCTCACATAGTCTCGCTCAACAAGCCACAAATAGCCAAGCTTGCATTGAATATGGAAAGCATGCCAAGGCTCACATAGCCTCGCTCGACAAGCCTTAAATAGCTTCGCCGACAAGCCTCAAATAGCCAAGCTTGCCTTGAATATGGCAAGCATGTCATGCCATTCCACCCCAAGCCTTACATAGCCTCGCTCGACAAGCCTCAAATAGCCATGCCTCACATAGCCTCGTTCTACAAGCCTCAAATAGCCAACCTTGCATCGAATATGGCAAAGCATGCCATGCCATGGCACGCCAAGCCTCACATAGCCTTGCTAAACAAGCCTCAAAATATGGCAAAGCATCCCATGCCGTGGCATGCCAAGCGTCACTCGACAAGCATCAAATACCCTTGCTTGCTGGTGAATATGGCAAAGCAGGCCACCCATGGCACTCCTTGCATAGCCTCACTCGACAAGCCTCAAATTGCCTCCCTTGATTTGAATATGGCAAAGCATGCCATGTCATGGCTCGCCAATTCTCACATAGCCTCCCTTGACAAGCCTCAAATATCCAAGCTTGCATTACATATGGCAAAAACATGCCATGCATGGCAAGCCAGGCTTCACATACCCTCGCTCAACATGCCTCAAATAGCCTGGCTTGCCTTTGTTGACGCAGAAAAATGGTTCTGCACTTTCCCGCGTAACTTAGTGATTAAGTCTCTTCGGTATCTGATGTCCTCGGTAGGGTGTGCGATCTGTAAGATAGCAAACACACGGTAAATCCTAGGGCACCGGTGTGGTACCGGCCGAAGGCTCTCCGATGCTTAAGTAAGTACGGATTTAGTAAGTTTTAACTGCAGATCAATAGGCAGTATGCCGTAAGTTCTGATTGATTACCTTCAGGCTGGGATAGGTGTCCTCTTTTATAGGCCTTGGGAGGTGTGCAATTTGTTTAGAGTTTCGATGTGGGACTCTGGGCGTCAATCGTGGAGCTGCCACGTGCCAGAGTGGGCAAGGTTGCCCTAATGTTGTGATCGGTAGGTCCAGTACCGAAGGTGAGTGCCGAAGGCACACGTAGCCTGGAATAGTCCACGTGGTTGATGTTCATTGGGTGTTCATTTTGGTATAAACAGGAGTCCCCCAAGTCCCCTTGCGAGAGTCTTCGGAAGGGGATTTGAATTCGTCCTCGGGAGGAAACACGGCCTTACCGTTCGGTAACCCCCGCTGGGGGAGGGGCAAAACCTTGTTCCTTCCGGCATGACCAGCTCAGAGGCTGACGTTGGCGAAGTCAGAAGGTCGCGTCGATCTGATGGGCGAAGAGACGTCTGAGCGCTTCGACTTCCGCGCCTCGCGTGCCGTCAGTTCTCCATTGGGTGAATGACACGTGGCGAAAGTAATGATGGCGCGCGGCGCATTAATGCGCCGTTTGGTTTTTCGAGGAGTACCGTTGCCAGCCACTTTCCCCTATAAATAGGGATGACCCCGGATGCGCACTCACTTTGCATCTGTGAGAAGTGAGAGCTCTGTCTGAGGCGATTTCCGACGAGGGCTTTCGGTAGACAGGCGATTTCCGGTGAGTGTTATCGGTAACAAGGCGATCTCCGGCGTTTCGAACGGTAGGAAAGGCGATTCCCGGCATTGCGAACGGTGGTGAAGCATCCCGAAGAGCAGATCGCGCTTATCTTCCAAGGCACACCTTAAGGTACCGTTCGGCACCCTTCTCTTTACATGTTTTAGGGTTACGTCCTTCCTTGGTTCGAACTAGACTGACCATAGGGTTCCATTCGGTAGTCTAGTCGCCATAGGTAGCGATGTAGGAATCGGTAGGATAGCATCCGGCATGAGCCTTAGTTTCCCTTCTTCCTGTTTTTGTAGATGTCTGATAGCGAGTCATATTCCGAGCGCGAGCCCAACGCTTTCGACGAGGAGTCATCGGACGGTCTCTTTGACTCCGATGGTGAAGCGGCAGGGCCTGGTGCCGAGGGCGGGAGCGATACCGACGTCGAGATACTCGGCGAAGGGCCCAGCTCTATCCCGACGCACGGAATCGGAAAGGGACTGATGACCGCTCCCATTCCGTTGTCCATCGTCTACAGTGACGGCCGCCACGTGGGCCTCGGTATGCCCGGGGAGGCGAGCGGTAGCCGTCAATCGGACGCCTCCACTTCCGGTCGTGGAGAGTCGGTAGCCAATCCGCCATCTGGGCCCAGGGTATCGGTAGTGTACCCAAGCAATCCCAGGGTGCCCATGGGGGTGCCGAAGGAAAACTTATTCGGCGTGGACTATCTTGGGCCGAACAAGATTACCGATCGGGAGATCGCCAAGCTTCGAGCAGAGTACCACATTCCCGACTCGGTACGGATGAGGATCCCGGGTCCCTACCGAATCCCTCAGTGCGCCGAAGGACGGCGAAGTAGTTTTCTTTACCGACGTCCTTGTGCAAGGCGTTCGGTTGCCGTTGCAGCCGGCGGTGCAGAGGATTCTAGCCCAGATCGGCTACGCCCCGGGGCAATTCAACCCCAACTTTTGGGTGGCTCTCATGGGAGTCATAACCGCCTTCGGTATGGCTGGCGAAGGGAGCCCCTCCTACGAGCAGTTCTCCCACCTCTACAGTGTCACCAAGTCCAAAGTGTGCCGATCACGGTGGATGGGTGCAGGCGAACTGCCTCAGGGCTACCGATCGAGGCCACTTCGTCAGTTGGGTACCGACTTCACAGAAGTCGTGGAGGAATCGGCGGGTGCTCCTCTCGGGCGATTGGGAGTCGCCTTCGGGACAGCCCGTCCGATTTCGCATTCCCACAACTTTCCAAATGGCCGGTAGGACCACGTGCCGTTCGGTACCTTCTTCGAGTTATCTGTCTACCGTAAGTAACACCCTTTCCTCTTCTTTTTGTAGGTAAGCTGAAGCAGCCGATCGCAACACAGGCCGAGATTCAGCAGGTGGAGAGGGTGAGGAGGAAAGTCCCTGCCGAGGAGAGAGTGTATCCGCAGTTCCTCTTCACCGCCAATCTGATCCGAGCCCAACTGATCGATCCTGCCGAGAGTAAGTACACTTCGTATTTACAATCGTTTCTTTTCTTCTGTTGCGGGTCTTACCGAACCCCTTTTCTCGCAGTGACGGAAGACAGGAGAGCTGCCGAGGCCAAGAGGATGAACGAGTCCTCCAAGCGCCGTCTCATGATGGGCTTCCAGGGGAAGAAGAAGAAAACCCAGCCGCAAGGTTCGGCATCGGTAGACCCTGAGGACCAGACGTTGGCCGACCGTCTCCGTGAGCTTAACGCCGATCGGCACAGACCAGAGCGGCAGCTGCCGACCCTTCTCCCCGCCGAGGCACTCACTACCGAAGGGACTTCCTCCCGTGCCGCCGGCAAACGGCCTTTCACTGTCGACCTGGATGCCGAACCGGCCCCAAAACGCGGACGGCAGGCTGAGCCGACTCGGGCTATTTTGCGGCCGATAATGACGAGGAGCCTGCCGATCCCGTCACCCTGGCCTGTCCGTCGAAGGCGGTCCAGTTCGCGAACCATATGATTATCGGTTCGCAAATGGAGCTGAACGAAATCGAGGAGCTGCCGAAGAGGCTCCTTCGGGAGGAGGCGGGTCGCGCCTTCCGTCTTCAGGCATCGGTAAGTCCAGAACACTCTCCGGTCCAGGTTACCGATCATATTTGTATCTTTGCTGACATGCTCGTTGTTTTGCAGGCTTCGATGGACATGTGGCTTTGCATGAAGCGGGCCATCAATGCCTCTGAGAAGGCGAAGAAGGCCTACGAGGACGGCAGGGCCAGGGTTGCCGAGGCTGGCAAGGCTATCCAGGACCACGCGAACCTGGTGAAGGACTTACAAGCTGCCGAACGGCAGGTCAAGGCTTACGAGTCCAAGTTCGCGGATCTGTCGTCTGCCCTGGAATCGGCACAGCTGTCGGCTAAGGAGGCTCTGGAGGCGAAGGGTGCCGTTGAGGTGGCTCTGGAGGAGTCGGAGCGTGCCAAAGCATCAGAGATTGAGGCTGCCGTCCAGGAGGCCATTCGGAAGTATCGCCACTCTACCGAATTCTCTACCTTGCTCGACAAGGAGGTGGGCTCGGAGATGGTGGATCTCATCTACCGATTCAAGCGGTACAATCCTGGGACGAAGCTCAATCTGAACTTTATTGCCGATCCTCCTCCCCTTCCCGAAGGCGTCACAGAAGAAATGATCGAAGAATACGAGGGGGAAGACGCTCCGGAGGAGCCGAAGCTGCTGATGCCGAAGGGGCGATGCCGAGGGCCCGTCCTCCTGATCTCTTCTTCCTTACGTAATTTTGATTTCCTGTACCTTTGTAATTTTGTACTAACTTTGATGCCGTTGGCATCTTTTGTTTGGATAATTAATGCCGTAGGCATTTTTTATTAAAGTTCATGTTTCACTTTAAATTTTGCATCTTACTTTTGAATCGGTAGCGTATTTAGGAAATTTTTCTGTTTAATGCCGAAAGTTTTTAAACAAAGGTCACTTGCCGTTGGCCAGTGACTTTCCTTTTACGCAGGGGTTCCGATTGTAAAGCAATGGCAAGTAATTGCCGAAAGAATATAACGTCCAGTAAAGTTTACCAAGTTGTCTTTTAATCGGTAGGATAATGGCGATGCCAAAATGCGTAGTTAGCTAATGCGTAGTTAGCTGCGACCGATGGTCCCTACCGTACCCTTTTTTTTTTGAACAAAAAATGGATAGATTTGAAAGACATAACAAAGGTGCCGAATATGTGAGCCGAAGGCCCTTTTTATTGATAAACCGCCGAAGGCGAGATTACAATTATGAGCGCGTTTTACAATATAGAACCCGCCGTTGGCTTGGTAACGCTATAATGCCGGAAGCTGTGTTGGTAGAGATGCCGAAGGCTTTTGTGACTCTTCCGTGACCCTGCCGTAGGCAAGGTGACTTCATTTGAAGTAGTACTTCAAATGCTCTATGTTCCAAGGGTGACCGAGGGTCTTTCCATTGGAGTCTCTGAGTCGGTAAGTCCCCGACCGCTGGATACCGATGATCTCGTAGGGTCCCTCCCAGGAAGGTCCGAGGGTTCCTTCCGTGGGATTCTTGGTTGCCAAGGAGACTTTCCGCATGACCCAATCTCCGACTCGGAAAGAGCGGGACTTGACCCTGGAGTCATAGTACCGAGAGACGCGTTGTTTGTAGGCTTCGTTCCGAAGGTTGGCTTGTGCTCGGCGCTCTTCGAGTAAGTCGAGGCTCAGAGCTAGCGCTTCCTCATTTGCCTTCGGTGCGAAGGTTTCCGTTCGGTAGGAGGGCTCTCCGATCTCTACTGGGACTACTGCCTCTGAACCGAAAGCCATGGAGAATGGTGTTTCCCCCAGTTGCCGTTCGGTAAGATGTCCGTATGGCCCATAGCGCCTCCGGAAGCTTTTCTGGCCATGCCCCTTTGGCTTTGTCAAGCTGCCGTTTCAACAGCTTCTTGACAATTTTGTTCATGGCTTCGACCTGTCCGTTCGATTGGGGGTGTGCTGGCGAAGCAAAGAACAGGTTGATCTTGAGTCGTTTGCAGAATTGCCGGAAAACTTCCGAATCAAACTGCCTGCCGTTATCCGTGACGATCGCGTAGGGGATGCCGAATCGGCAGCAAATGTTTGTCCAAACGAAATCCTCGATTCTGGCTGCCGTTATCGTCGCTAGTTCTTTGGCTTCTACCCATTTGGTGAAGTAGTCTACGGCAACAACAGCGTATTTTACCTGACCCTTGCCCTCTGGCATCGGACCGATTAGATCCAGTCCCCATTGGGCGAACGGCCATGGGCTCACGATCGGTGACAGTGGCTCGGCGGGAATGTGAGGGACACTACCGAACCGTTGGCATTTGTCGCACTTCTTGACTAGTGTGTTGGCATCCTGATGCAGAGTCGGCCAGAAATAACCCTGCCGGAAGACCTTGTGTGCGAGCGATCGGGAACCAGAATGGTCCCCGCAGATTCCGCTGTGGACCTCCCGAAGGATGTAGTCCCCTTGCTCTTTGGTCAGGCATTTTAAGTACGGCGTCGTGTAGCCCCGTTTGTACAGAACATCGTTGATGACTGTGTATCTTGCCGATCGGTAGCGAAGTTTCCGAGCTTGGGATTATCGGTAGGAAGGGTTCCGGCTGTCAGATAGGCATAGATTGGAGACATCCATGTCTCCTCGTACCGAACGGTACATACCTCAGCGGCGGTTGTACTTGGTTGGGATAATATCTCCACCGGTACCTTCCTTCCGATCTTGTCATTTATTGCCGAGGCCAATCGTGAGAGTGCGTCGGCATGGCTATTTTCCGACCTGGGGATCTGCCGTATCTCATAGGCTTGGAATTTCTGTAGTAGCTGGTGGGCTGCCGATAGGTAGGCTGACATGGAGGCATCCTTTGCTGCGAAGTCTGCCGTTATCTGGTTTACTATGAGCTGGGAGTCGCTGTGAATGCTGATCTGCCTCGCGCTCATGCTCTGGGCTAGCCGAAGGCCAGCCAGGAGGGCCTCATATTCTGCCTCGTTATTGGAGGTTCGGAAGTTGAATCGGAGGGCGTACTCGATTTTGCTACCGTCTGGAGTGGTTAACACTAAGCCGGCACCACAGCCTTGCTGGTTTGCCGAGCCGTCCACATGCAGGATCCAGAGAGGAGTGGACGTGTCGAAACGTTCGGTATCCATTTTCTCTGGTGCGGTAGGGACGCGCTCGGCGATGATGGTTCCGATAAAGCAGGAGGTGTGAGCTCGGAGATGAAGTCGGCAACGGCTTGGCCTTTTTCTGCAGGCCTTGGCTTTGAACTGTATGTCAAACTCTCCCCAACTCGATTGCCCATTTGACCAATCGGCCAGATGTTTCCGGCTTTTGGAGCACCTGCCGAAGAGGGCTGGTTCGTCAGAACCGTGATTTCGTGAGCCTGGAAGTAGGGCGAAGTCTTCGCGCCGAGACGACCAGGGCCAGCGCTAGCTGTTCCAAGGGTGGGTACCGAAGCTCTGCGCTCTGGAGCGCCTTGCTGACATAAAAGATCGGTAGCTCCGCCTTCTCCGGCTTCCTTATCAACACTGAGCTGACGGCAGTGTTGGATACCGAAAGGTACAGAAGTAGTACCTCGCCCTGGCAGTGGTTTTGATAACAGTGGTGCCTGGCTCATGTAGTTCTTCAAGTTTTGAAATGCCTGGTCGCATTCGGGAGTCCATGTTATATGATGTTTGCCCCCTTTCAAAGCTTTGAAGAACGGTACGCATTTATCGGTAGCCTTGGAGATGAAGCGTGTCAGGGCAGCGACACGTCCGGTAAGGCTCTGAATGTCCTTCTGCGTCTTCGGCGTCTCCATGTCGATTATGGCTTTTATTTTCTCGGGATTGGCCTCGATTCCCCTTTGACTGATCATGAACCCGAGAAATTTTCCGGAAGATACACCGAAGGCGCACTTCGCCGGGTTCAGCCGCATTCGGTAGTCCTTTAGAATACCGAACATGAGGGCCAAGTTTTCCAGGTGATCCCCTGCCGTTCGGCTCTTTACCAACATGTCGTCAACATAAACCTCCATGATGCCGCCGATGTATTTAGCGAAGATCCGGTTGACGAGCCGTTGGTAAGTTGCCCCCGCGTTCTTCAGGCCGAAGGGCATGACATTGTAGCAGTACAAACCGCGATCCGTGATGAATGCCGTATGTTCTCGATCGGCAGGGTCCATGAAGATCTGGTTGTATCCTGAATACGCGTCCATGAAGCTGAGCAGTTCGTGCCCGGCGGTGGCATCGACGAGCTGATCGATCCTCGGTAAGGGGAAACTGTCTTTCGGACAGGCCTTATTCAGGTCGGCATAGTCCTGACACATTCGCCATCCTCCCCTGGCCTTCCGAACCATGACTGAGTTGGCAAGCCACACAGGGTACGTAGCTTCCCTGATAAAGCCGATGGCTTTGAGTTTGTCAACCTCGGCACGCATCGCCTCATACCGTTCGGCATCGTACGATCGGCGCTTTTGTCTGACTGGTTTGTGGGCGGGGGAGATGCTGAGCTTGTGGCTGATGACGTCGGGTGATATGCCGGGCATGTCGTCATAAGACCAGGCGAAGACTTCCGCATGCTGCCGTAAGAAGTCGATGAACTGCCTTCGGAGGTCGGGTTCCAGATTGGTGCCGATCTTCACCCACCGATCGGGGAAGTCCTTGTTCAGGATTATGGTCTCCAGCTCCTCGGCGGGCTGTGCCATTGGCGTTGGGTTTTCCTCCCGGGGGTCGTCAATGGGTTCGTTACCGTTCGGTAGTCCCTGCAGGGTCATGGCCTCCATTGGCGGTTTGCTGGCTACCGACTTAAGGGCCGTGGCATAGCACGTCCGTGCGCTGAGCTGATCGCCCCGGATGGCTCCGGTACCGTTGCGTGTTGGGAACTTCATCAGCAACATGTGTGTGGATAGGTGGGCTTTGATCCTGGTGAGCGCCGTTCGCCCTATGATGACGTTGTATGCTGTTGGGCAGTCAACAATGAGGAATTGGTCATAGGTCATGGTCTTCCGGGGGCCATGCCGAAGGCAATGGGTAAACTGATGCTACCGACCGGTTGTACCAGATCCCCAGAGAAACTGAGGAGAGGCGTGATTTGCCGATTGACCATGCTGTCCGCAATCCCCAGGCCCTTGAACGCATCGGCAAAGATCACGTTCACCGAGCTTCCGGTGTCAATCAGCACCCGACCCACGTCGTAATCGGCGATCTCGGCCCGAATGATCATTGGGTCGTCGTGGGGGTAGATGATTCCCTCCTCCTCTTCTTCACTGAATGTGATGGGCTCCCATCCCACCTTTGACAACTTTCGGCACCGATCCTCCGCTATGCCGAAGACCTGAGGGCAGTGGGCGGCGCGCACATACTGCTTCGCCGAGCGGTTGGAGGGTCCCGCCAGGGTGGGGCCACCGCTGATCGTGTTGATCATGTTGATCTGCCGATTCGCATTCGGTGCCGGGGCCTGTGGCGGCCTGGCAAGGTACTGATCCAACTTCCCTTCCCGAATCAGGCGCTCGACAATTTTCCTTAGACTGATGCAGTCTTCGGTATTGTGGCTGTTCTGCTGGTGATATCGGCAGAATTTGCCAGTATCCCGATTATCCTGCCGATTGGGCTTCCGGTTGGTCGGCTTCGGGATCTGGTCGTGTTCGTTCATTAGAACGGTTTCGTACGTCGTGTTCAGCAGGGTGAAGACTTCCTGAGCACGATCGTGATTCGGTAGGGGTGCCCGGTGGTCGTTACGACCGTACTTCCCACGTCCCTTCTTTGAGTTTCCCTGACGGCTATCCCGGTCGTCCTTCCGTTTGTGTCCTGCCGACGGTTCGTCGGTTCGGCCTGGGATAACTTTTGGCTGCCGATTCCTCCTTCCGAGCCGAAGGCCCGGGTTTGGAGTTGAAGTATTCGGCCTTCGCATGGACTGCCGCCTGCTTCATTAACTCGTCATACGTGCGCCAGTTGCTACTGTGCACGAGGTACCGGAAGTGAGAGGACCGTAGGCCACTCTTGAAGGCGCCGTAGGCTGCCCTATCGTCCGTTTCGGGACACCTCGAGTACTCGTGACTGAAGCGCGCTGCGTATTCCCGTAGGGGTTCGTCCTCCCTTTGCCGAATCGTGTATAGATCATCGGCAGAGTACAAACGGTCCGTCTGGATCATGAAGTGGTTGAGGAAGATTTGCTTCAGTTCGTCAAAGGAGTGTACCGTCCCCTGGTTCGAGACGGTAGAACCAGTTCAGTGCAGCTCCGGTAAGGGACGAGGGGAACAGCAGGCATTGTCCCTCGTCGCTAAGGCCCTTACATCCAACTGCCGATTGGAAAGAGTGAAGGTGCGTCAGAGGGTCCTCCACACCGGTATAGAAGGGTATGCGCAACGGCTGCACCTCCCTGTCCGGTCTGGACCTCTTGATGCGCTCGGTAAAGGGCCCGGGTCGAAGTTTTCCCCAGTCAGGGACCTGGGATCGGGTTCGGTCTTCCTCCATCTTCTGGATTCTTTGGAAAAGTAATCGGATGGTGGGGTCTCGGCTGGGGACGTCCTCGGAACCAAAGTCCTCGGAAGCTTTCCTTGGACTTGGTGATCTTGCCTTCGAATACTCCGGGGGAGCTTCCGAACGGTAGCTCGATTCGGTGTCCCTGGTGGGGATGTACTCATCATCGGATTCCTGCGCCGAATCCAAACCCTGAGCCCTCCGAAGGGGCGACTTATCCCCCAAGACCCTCATCCGAGAGTCCCTCAAGTTGGCGTTTAGTCTGATCGGGGACCTATGCCGTTCGGCATCCCTCTTGTCGTTGATCCGATGACGACAATCGGTGTATACCTTCTTCGGTACGTGCGGTTGGTCCTGGGGGTGCCGGGACTACCAGCTGTTTGGAGGGCGCAGGCGTTGCCTTTGCCCCCTGTTTTCCCTTCCTCTGCCGACCGGGGGTCTGCTGACTCTGGGAAGATTCGGTGGTCTGAACGTTTTGCGTTTCCTGCTGATTAAGCAACCGTTGGGTTTCGTCCACTTTGGACGAGAGGAGATTGTTACGTTCTTGGAGTTTAGTCATCTCCTTTCGGAGGGAGGTCATCTGGGCCAGAAGCTCCGCTTCGACCGTGGTCTGAAGCGCAGGTGGATTACCGAAGGGAGTGCTAGGGTGCAGCGCGGGGCTTGCTCCACTTGGCATACCGTACGGTAATCCATCCTCTGGTAGGAACTGTGGTCCTGAAGTGGTTCCCATTTGTTTTGTTTAGGAATTGTAGGTTGATTATATCGTTTCCCACAGACGGCGCCAAACTGTTGACGCAGAAAAATGGTTCTGCACTTTCCCGCGCAACTTAGTGATTAAGTCTCTTCGGTATCTGATGTCCTCGGTAGGGTGTGCGATCTGTAAGATAGCAAACACACGGTAAATCCTAGGGCACCGGTGTGGTACCGGCCGAAGGCTCTCCGATGCTTAAGTAAGTACGGATTTAGTAAGTTTTAACTGCAGATCAATAGGCAGTATGCCGTAAGTTCTGATTGATTACCTTCAGGCTGGGATAGGTGTCCTCTTTTATAGGCCTTGGGAGGTGTGCAATTTGTTTAGAGTTTCGATGTGGGACTCTGGGCGTCAATCGTGGAGCTGCCACGTGCCAGAGTGGGCAAGGTTGCCCTAATGTTGTGATCGGTAGGTCTGTACCGAAGGTGAGTGCCGAAGGCACACGTAGCCTGGAATAGTCCACGTGGTTGATGTTCATTGGGTGTTCATTTTTTTTTTTTTTTTTTTTTTTTTTTTTTTTTTTTTTTTTTTTTTTTTTTTTTTTTTTTTTTTTTTTTTTTTTTTTTTTTTTTTTTTTTTTTTTTTTTTTTTTTTTTTTTTTTTTTTTTTTTTTTTTTTTTTTTTTTTTTTTTTTTTTTTTTTTTTTTTTTTTTTTTTTTTTTTTTTTTTTTTTTTTTTTTTTTTTTTTTTTTTTTTTTTTTTTTTTTTTTTTTTTTTTTTTTTTTTTTTTTTTTTTTTTTTTTTTTTTTTTTTTTTTTTTTTTTTTTTTTTTTTTTTTTTTTTTTTTTTTTTTTTTTTTTTTTTTTTTTTTTTTTTTTTTTTTTTTTTTTTTTTTTTTTTAAAAATTAAAAAAAATTTTTTTTATTTTATTTTAACCTATAAATATAAAATTATTGTCCTCCTATTGCTGATTTATCACAAGTTCATCAATTTTGGTCTCTCTTAGCTCACGCAGCTCTCTCTCTCTCTCTCTCTCTCTGGCACAGCTCTCTTTCTCTTTGGTATATGTCTATCGCAGCTCTCTGTCTCTCTTGGCTCTCTCTCTCTGTAGCACAACTCTCTGTCTCTGTCTTTGCTCTCTTTCTCATACCGCAGCTCTTTCTCTCTCTAGATTCGTTATGTCTGTTTCTCCCCATATTCGGTCTTGCTCTCTGTTTGGAATCGCGAACCCCTACCTTTAGGTATGTCTTCTGAATAGCTGCTTGCAACCGTGAAGCTCTAGTGGATTGCCGACCTCGAAAAGGTAGTGTTGATGGTTATTTTCTTTTAATATCAGTGGGATTATGTGAAATGGGTTACATTTTGATTGTTTGGGTTTGTGTTAAATTTGTTTTGGCTTTAATTGCTTTGGGTTAGGTTTTGTTGAATATCCATGCTGATTCATCTGGGTTTGTACCAATTGCACTTAGATTGGTCTGGATATGTGAATCTTGAAACTTGGGATTTTCCATTTGATGTAGTAGATCTGTATAGTGTGATTCTGATGTGTTACACCAGTGTTCCTCTTATTTTACTGTCGTATTGTTGTTATGTTGCTGTTATATTGCCATTATATTGCTGTTATATTGCGGTTATATTGTATGGTTATTGTGGTTATATTGCTGCTATATTGTATGGTTATTGTGGTTATATTGCTGTTATATTGTATGGTTATTGTGGTTATATTGTGTTAATGAACTGTTGTTTTGTCATGGTCAGAAATGGAGACAATTGTTATTCTCGTGTGCTACAATGGAAAATGGGTCACCTCGAAGAAGATGTGCAAATACGAAGGGGGTGACTCAAAAGGCTTAATAGTTCCACGGACCATCAAATTTGCTGAACTGTTGGACCGTGTGCATCAGATTGGTAATACAAACAGCAGGGAAGACAAGGTTTGCTTAAAATTCTCAGTTTTGGTGGCCTCGAATGAGTGGAAGCACATAAAGATTGAGGATGATGATGATGTCAATTTTTTTATGAAGTACAATTCTGAGGTAACACCTTCAAAACTAGCTCCCTTACTCGTGAGTATAGAAGATAAAGGACTCACAAATGATGTAGTTGATAGTATGCATATCACGACAAATAGTAGTCGGATGGGTCGTTCTTCAGTCGCCATTGTTGAAAGCAATGAAGTAAGTTGGAATAATACAAATGGCAATGATGTGGGAGGTGAAGTAGGGACAGATTTTATGGATATGATTGATTTTAGCGAGGTGGAGGACATGCATGGTGGTGATAATGGTACTGAAAGAAATGAAGTGTCAGTGTACTCTGCCCCTCCTATTTTGGGCTGCTTGAACACATCTGCCCAACTGCCAATAATGCGTTTAGGAGGAGAATCTGAACCCATTCGTGAACATTATTGGAATCAAATAGGTGAACAGAACCGGTACAATGAAGCCGGTGTAAATGATGGGGAAGCATATTTGGATAGCGGGTGTTCGCGAAGTGATTGGAATCCGAAAATTACAGTTGGGCAAATTTTCTCTAGTAAGAAAGCATTGTTGACGGAGTTACAGTTGACGGCAATAAGAGGCCACTTCGAATTTAAGGTGCAATTCTCCTGCACAAAGAGGTTGCTTGTGGTTTGTTGTCAACGTCCATGCCCATGGCGGGTCCGAGCATCGAGATTTGGAGAATACAGCTTCATGATTGTGAGGTGTACAACTGTCCATGAATGTGATTTGAGGTTCATAAGTGACAACCATCGTCAAGCAACCGCAGCACTTGTAGCCACTTCATGTAAAAGGAAGTTGAAGGATTCTCGGACAATATACACACCAAGTGACATTATGAGAGATGTGAAACACAACTTTGGTTTAAGAATCCATTATTCGAAAGCTTGGAAAGCAAGGGAGTTAGCTCTATTGTCCATTAGAGGATCAGCGGAGGAGGCATATTATATTCTTCCAGCTTATTGCTATGAATTGGAGCGTATGAATCCCGGCACAAAAACACACATCCAAACTGATGAGAACAATCACTTTGTGTATTTATTTATGGCGGTTGGTGCATGTATTAGAGGGTTTTGTTCTTCCATGCGCCCAGTGATAGCTGTGGATGCCACTCATTTAAAATCCAAGTACAAGGGTGTTATGTTTGTAGCAAATGCATTCGATGGTAATCGAAATATATATCCTCTTGCTTTTGGGATCGGGGATTTGGAGACGGATGCATCATGGCATTGGTTTTTCACTAAACTTCATGAAGCCATTGGTGAGTGTCCCAATCTTGTTATTATTTCTGATCGAAATGTTAGCATACAGAATGTGTGGAACAAAGTTTTTCCAACTGCGCAACATGGCATATGCTTTTATCATATGAAGGGGAACATGAAACGCACTTGCAAGTTGAAAAAGCGTGATCCAATACTTATGCACTTTGAGCAGGCTGCGAAATCTTATTCCATTGCTGAATTTGATTGTCATTTTCGCAAGATCAAGCGAAAGGAACATGTTGCTCAATATCTTGAAGAGGCAGGGTTACATAAGTGGTCTAGAGCTCACATGGATGGACGCCGCTACAATGTAATGACAACAAATATTGCGGAGTCAATCAACTCAGTCCTTAGGTTTGCAAGGACGCTGCCAGTGGTTCATTTGATAGGGGAAATTATGAATCTCCTTGTCAAATGGTTCACCGAACGTCGTGAGTTGGCTTTGAAGTGCACAACAACATTGTGCCCCAATTTTGGAGAGAAGAAGTTGAGGAACAGGTTGGAGGATGCTGCAACGATGAATGTGGTTAAAGTGAATAATGCACAGTTTAATGTTTTGGACGGTCATATGGATGGCCTCGTAGATTTGACGAACAACACTTGCAGTTGTAGAAAGTTTCAGCTTGAGCAGCTACCTTGCAAGCATGTAGTTGCAGTTTGCCGCTTCTTGAAAGTAAATGTATACTCAAAGGCTTCTCGGTATTACACTCGGAAAACCTGGATGGATGCTTATTCGGATAGCATCTACCCGATACAGCCTCACGGAATGTGGGATATTCCTGAAGATGTTCGAAGTCGAGTTGTGCTGCCTCCCATTGCAAGGGTCATGCCAGGCAGACGAAAGAAGATAAGAATTCCCTCGCAAGGAGAGGGCACCATTAGAAGAAAGTGCTCAAGGTGTGGTTCCGCAGGCCACAATAAAAGCACCTGTAAAAACACTATTCCAGTGCGCAATGTATCTTAGACAATATGATTTCTGTTGCTTTGGTAGGTCATGTCAACTTTACTTTTATTTGTGGTGGGTTTCGTGTTATGTTGAATGGGAATTCTTTTACATTTGCATAATTTGGGTTGCATTGCTACAGCATGCTGTATTGCGTCCAGATTGCCATTATATTGTACTTTTATTGCCATGGTATTACTTCCATATTGCTATTATAATTTGAGTGCGAAATTAAAGGGCCTGGAATGTAATTCCAAATGGATCCAAAACATTCAAGTTCTTTGAATTCCTTTATGACACAGTTACCGTGATACTCCGACTATACCTTCTTTTGTGAT